TGTACCTTTCCACAGTCACAACATTCAGCGATATACAAAGACATACCAAACAAGAAGGACCACTACATTTGTGTGACAGGCGGCCATTGGGGACACCACTGTGGTACCTGGAAAGCAGCGGGTTGGAACACAGGCCGACCATTGGGGCTACAGACCACAAAGTGCCTTAGATAGGATTAACAGATATGGGAAACCCTTGTTACACAGAATGACCTTATGTAAGCCAACAGGGTCTACCCCAATGAAACTCACCTTAAACACAGAACATCCCAGCCCAGGGGACGCTGGAGAGTACGTAATGGGAATGTATTGGAAAGGGGGTGGCTCATATAACAAGTTGGGGACCTTCTATTTACAAGACATGCTTACGTCACCTGACTGGGTAGACTCTACACACATGACGATTAACCCTCTAAAACCACACATTAAAACCCTTAAAGACATGGTAGCCATTGCTGATCCCACATTTGAAGATACTATGGCTGTAGAGACTGGGTTTTCAGATACTAATCTATGGCTTGAGTGTATGAGGTATAATGCTAATTCACACAATAAAACTAACTGTTATGTTTGTGGAGGGGCTAGACCCCATCTGGGTACTGTGCCCTTCAGTCTACCTTCAGATGTTGAAATCTGTTTCCTAAGTCTATGCGCAGTCACCAACAAACTCATCTGTGTGTGAATCATGGAAAAAGGTATACCCAATAACCCAAGGGAATATCAAGCCACCTGATGGGATCACCGTGTACCCAGGTAACTACACTTGCTACAAAATACATGGAGCCACAGGAAAATTTGTGGGTAAATCCCCTTCTGGCTACTGTACTACCTATAGAGAACCTCCCACTGCCCTATTAGTAAATCATGTTAAGTCCGTGGGAGACATTTATTGGCTATGCGGTGACATGCAGCTCAGATCTAAAATGACTGGCCTGTGGTGGGGAGAATGCACTCTGACCAAAGCTATCATGCCCATACATATAATTTCTGATAACCACCAAGGCCCACTTGATTCACCACACACGTATTTTAGGGTAAAAAGAGAAACACCTGTTCGAGGTAGTTTCGACCCACATATATATATATATATCGATGCCATAGGTGTACCAAGGGGGGTACCAAATGAGTTCAAGTCCAGAGATGAGGTTGCGGCAGGATTCGAATCCTTGATCCCAATCATCGCCGCTAACAAAAATGTTAATTGGATCAATTATATTTACTATAATCAGCAACGCTTTCGCTTTGTCAATTACACGATAGATACCCTCCAGGGCTTGGCATAACAGTTACAGACTACCTCCCAAATGACATTTCAGAATCGAATGGCCTTAGACATGATACTAGCAGAGAAGGGGGCATGTGTAAAATACTTCCCGATACTATGGCATGCTGTACCTTCATCACAGACAATACAGGCCACAATGGTAAGGTAACTAAGGCCATAGAGAAATTAGAAAGTCTCTCTGATGAATTAACAAAGAACTCGGGAGTCCCCAATTCATTGGACAGATGGTTTGGTTGGATGAGTGGATGGCAGAAAACTCTCCTTCAAGTAGGTATGGCGGTTCTTACTGTGGTAGTTCTCTTTCTCTTCCTGGGTTGCTGAGTGATGCCCTGTGTGCAGAAATACTTACAGAAGACTGTAGGTCAGATCATTGACCGCACCACACCTACATCAGGATGTTGACGATATAGACTGTGACACACCCCACACACCTTTTCAGTCCCACCACCTCAAAGAGACAACTACTTCCTTATAGGGACAGCGTCTGTCTCCACGGGTAGAAGTCTGACGCGGGAGATGTAGTGGGTTAGCCACTATGGGATACCCGCGCAGTGAAGCGTTCGAGGCCTGTTCAGACAGATGAGCTGCAGCCAAGTAGGGACAGTTAGTTGTTGACTCTTTAGTAAATAGCCATTTTAAGGGGGGACTGTTGTGGACAAAAATATTAACTCAATTTATGTTAGTAAAATGCCTATTTACTCAGCACACCTACAATCAGCATTATTCAACTTTATATGTGATTTACCTAAAATGGCCACTAGGGAGTTTCCCCTTCGACATCGACTAACACCCTCACTAACAAGATGGAGCTGGAATCTGGGGGAGACCTCCAAGATACCAGTGACATCACACCTGGTAGGAAGAGCAATAAATGAACAACTTAACACCTAACCAATTATTGATGTATTGTTTCATGTTATCTCTGACAAAGCATATGATGTAATTTTGCTTTATAAGGGGCATGCCATCCCCTCATAATAAATATTCCTCAAGTTTTTCATTAAAGGACCACTATAGGCACCCAGACCACTTCAGCTTAAAGGACCACTATAGTGCCAGGAAAACATACTCGTTTTCCTGGCACTATAGTGCCCTCAGGGTCCCCCTCCCGCCCGGCTCTGGAAGGGGGAAAGGGGGAAAAACGTACCTTTTTCCAGCGCTGGGCGGGGAGCTCTCTGCCTCCTCTCTTCCTCCGATCCGCCCCGTCGGCTGAATGCACACGCGCGGCAAGAGCTGCGCGCGCATTCAGCCGGTCGCATAAGAAAGCATTCATAACGCTTTCCTATGAACGCTTGCGTGCTCTCACTGTGATTTTCACAGTGAGAAGCACGCAAGCGCCTCTAGCGGCTGTCAATGAGACAGCCACTAGAGGATTTGCAGGAAGGCTTAACCCATTGATAAACATAGCAGTTTCTCTGAAAACAATGGGTTAACCCTAGAAGGACCTGGCACCCAGACCACTTCATTAAGCTGCCGTGGTCTGGGTGCTTAGAGTGGTCCTTTAATGAAGTGGTCTGGGTGCCAGGTCCAGCTAGGGTTAACCCTTTTTTTTTATAGAAACTGCTATGTTTATAAATGGGTTAATCCAGCCTCCAGTGGCTGTCTCTTCACAGCCGCTAGAGGCGCTTGCGTGCTTCTCACTGTGAAAATCACAGTGAGAAGACGCCAGCGTCCATAGGAAAGCATTGTGAATACTTTCCTATGGACTGGCTGAATGCGCACGCGGCTCCTGCCGAGCATGCGCCTTCAGCTGAAGAGGAGGAGAAGGGGGAGGAGAGGAGGAGGAGATCTCCCCGCCCGGCGCTGGAAAAAGAGGTAAGTTTAACGCCTTCCTCTCCCCAGAGCCCGGGGGGAGGGGGACCCTGAGGGTGGGGGCACCCTCAGGGCACTATAGTGCCAGGAAAACGAGTATGTTTTCCTGGCACTATAGTGGTCCTTTAACCCGAAACCTGTGTCTGGTGTGAATTACTTTAGGAGCGTGCACGCACTTCTTCTCTAATTTGGCCGGGGGCAGACACACAAGATAATCAATTAATTGATTGATTCCACATCATAAAGTAAATAAGCTTATTTTCTCAATAGGCTGATAGATTCAGCTGACGCCTGTGCCTATATGCGGCACCCCGTCAGAGGCTTCCTATTTGAAGCCTCAGACATAGAAAGGCCGTTTGAAGGCAAGGCGAAAAGGTGATTGCTTGATTACTTTGGGGCTAAATCGTTCATTAACAGTTTAACCTCTTCAACGGGTGCCAGGAACCTCACTGCAGCATAAAAACTTAATTGCAATGAAGTTGTGATGGTGTCTGCATTGGTCCTTTAAACTACAAAATCAAGGGATCCAAGTCACCAGATACCCCCTTTGTGTCTCAGCATGTATATTATGGTTTCTTTGTTTAACCAAGCCATAGAGACTCCTTAGAATAGACTGTCTTTGTTAGAAAAGTAGAGCTATACACTAAAAGGGTTTATTCACTAAACTGATATTTGATTTGAAACAAATTTCAAATCTGAATGTAAAAATTTGAGTGCAAATAGCTGATCCAGAATAAAAATTCCAATTCACCTATAATCACAGGTTGACTATTTTTCAAATCATTAGGATTTCAGCCTGATACAATTTGACCTTTTGTTAATAAAATGCATCAAGTGTGAACTGCTGATAATTCACAGTTGATTTCAAATTTTATGCCAAGATATTCAAAAATAAAAGATAGCTGACGTGAAGATTTTTTTTATTTCTTCCTCCTATCTTGTCCTTGTAGCTGTAACTCACTGGGAATTCCCAGCAGTTGATTGTTCCACAAATGATTTTAATATTATTTATAAAGTGCCAACAAAATCTGCTGTACAATGGGATCTCGCAGGGTGCCTTTACTAAACACCATATTGTGTTAAATTTCAAATATTATAATCCAGTGCCCCCCCACCCACCCAAAAAAAAATAGCTGATCAGGAAAAAGTTTCCATACTCAGCTAAAGTCACAGCTTTGGTACTGTGGTCTTTTATATTAGATTCCCAGCTGACTGCATTTCGCTGTTTAGTGAATAAGCTCCAGTATCACCGTTTACAAGCTTATTAATGATGGGCAGATGAAGGGGTAAAAAAAAGGGAAGGTTTAAAGTCTCTCCCATTAGATGACAGGATGACGTTGACAATGCAAAGCAGCCCAACCCTGTTGCCCGGGGGACAAGGAGTGGCTGGAAAACAACCGTCATCTTTCCTCCTTTCACCTGTGAAGGCACAGGTTTCACTCCCTGCTGGGGAGCAAGCCGCCGCCATCTTGTCCTCGGGAGACTCGGCGGTTTATGACAGGAGAAGCCATTTTGTCTGCTGCTACTACAGCCCCCCAAGTTGGCTCACTCACTGTTTTATTGTCATTGAACATAACGTGAAATACAGAACGAGATAACAATAATGGGGTTATAAAAAACAAACAAAAAAAAACCATACATGGATTGTAAAAACATGTTTATTAAAGTAAAAAAAAAAAAACAACACGATAAATGCTATAATAAAATAAATTAGGAGGTGCGTTAAGAAATAAAAGTATTGAGCACTAATTAAATGCTGTTTGCCATTTTCGAGACGAGGGGGGGGGTGGGGGTGTTAAACTAACGACCATAGAGGTGTACTTCCTCCACCAATATGGCGCCGACGCTTTATTAGAGCAGTGCGGGGTGTGCGCGCGCGAGACCAGTCAGCGTCATCGCCCCGCCCCCCTTCTGTTAGGGTCGACTCCTCGTTCTGTACCCAGAGTGCACCGCGCCTGCGGAGGAGGGCATTTTGTGGCGAGAGAGAGAGGCACACTCTCTCAGTGGAGAAAGGGGGGGGTGTAGGAAGACGATAGCCACAAGATGGCGGCCTGAGGAGGAGCGGCGGGGCTGCGGCTGTGACAGCGGGACTGAAGGAAGGCGAGGTTGAATCCCAGGACTGTTAGGGGTACGGCAGGCTGCCCGGAGAGGGAGAGTGACGGAGAGCGTGAGGGGAGCGCGTCGGCATCGTAGCGGCTCCCCCCGGTGACGACCTACCGAACAAAAGAGAGCCTGAGATCGCCTCAGCGTTACAGGGCGGCTGTGACCTCCTCCCCCGCCGTTCGGTCCATTCTTTACCCCTCCCGGCCCACCCTGATTCCCGGGGTGTAGCCCCCTCCTCCTCCCCTGGATCATGGCGAGCAGCAGCGGCTCCAAGGCCGAGTTTATCGTCGGGGGAAAGTACAAACTGGTCCGGAAGATCGGCTCCGGCTCGTTCGGAGATATCTACCTGGCAATCAATATCACCAATGGCGAGGTAATAATCCCCCCCTAATCCCACCCCCCCATCCCAGCTCTCCTTCCGCCATTACAGTGCTGGGGATTAATCTCACCTCCAGGTACCCCTGCTGCTGGGACAGACTGGCAGCTCACACTGACACTGCCACCTGCTGGCCACTGTGGACCCAGCAAGAACTACACCCATAGCTACCCCCTGAACATACATAGTGCTACACTGGGTCTACTGGGGCCCCCTGCCTGTGCCATGTATAGTCTTCATAGGAGACCTAGCAAGATCTACACCCATCACTACCCCCTGAACATCCATAGTGCTACACTGGGGCCCCCTGCCTGTGCCATGTATGGTCTTCATAGGAGACCTAGCAAGATCTGCACCCATAACTACCCCCTGAACATCCATAGTGCTACACTGGGTTTACTGAGGCCCCCTGCATGTGCCTTGTATAGTCTTCATAGGAGTCCTAGCAAGATCTACACCCATAACTACCCTCTGAACATCCATAGTGCTACACTGGGGCCCCCTGCCTGTGCCATGTATGGTCTTCATAGGAGACCTAGCAAGATCTGCACCCATAACTACCCCCTGAACATCCATAGTGCTACACTGGGTTTACTGAGGCCCCCTGCATGTGCCTTGTATAGTCTTCATAGGAGTCCTAGCAAGATCTACACCCATAACTACCCTCTGAACATCCATAGTGCTACGCTGGGGCCCCCTGCCTGTGCCATGTATAGTCTTCATAGGAGACCTAGCAAGATCTACACCCATAACTACCCTCTGAACATCCATAGTGCTACACTGGGGTCCCCTGTCTGTGCCATGTATGGTCTTCATAGGAGACCTAGCAAGATCTGCACCCATAACTACCCCCTGAACATCCATAGTGCTACACTGGGGCCCCCTGTTTGTGTCATGTATGGTCTTTGTAGGAGACCTAGCAAAATCTACCCCCTGAACATCCATAGTGCTACATTGGGTATACTAACTCCCCACCCGAATCTGCCTGACAAGTGTGAGGTTCTGCGGACCTAGCAAGAACTACACTCAGAATTACCCTCCCTGAACATCCATAGTGCTGCACTGGGTCAGCAGAACCACCTGTCTGTGTCCTGTATGAAGTTTTATGGGAGAGTCTCTTTTAAATTAAAATTTTAATTGAATTTAGGATACTTTGTTAGCTAGGGATTCTTTTCCCCCACAAAAACCAATAAATCTATTTAGCTATAAAATATTTTACCAGGTAGGATATGTTGGGACTAGTTACAGGGCTGAATAGGGCCTTTTTCTTATGATCTAACAATCTAAGTTTGCAAAATGTAAGGGCCTGCGCTGTATGTTAAACTGTGGCGTTACATTGTAATAGTGCCAGCATACATATGTATTATGTCCTAAATGTATTGCTGTCTTGTCATTGGTCACTATTTGCATTCAGTATGCATTGCATTATGTTGACACCCTGCAATGTTTCTAAGACTTCACTGTTTTTGTCATGTGGTCTGGTGTCAGTGAAAGGGCTTATTGATTTTGGCACCACCTATCTGAATGCGTTATGGGTACTTACTCGTATGCGTTTATTTTTGTAAGATGGGAGAAGCAGTGTAAGTGTCTTCCTTGTATTCTACTTAACAAGATTTGCAGTTGGGTGCTGCATCTCATAACTGACATGCTAGATATGTGATATGGTACATCTAGTATGTAGTTAAAGGGATATTATGCCAGCCAATCCATATCTGTAACCAGGTTGCATTTGTGAAGTGCCAGCATAATCATGGCTGGAGTGACTGTTTAGTTACTTTTTCTTTGCCTAGGTTGATTGTTTTTCTCATTGAATAATCACTGGCTGTATGTACCATTTAATAATAACTCATGGTTTATTTCAATTTCATAACTATACTGTACCTGTAATGACATTTATGTGGTTACTCTGCTTTGGATTAGAAGTGCTACATTTCTAACTTATCATGATTTCTTCCTTCTCACCTCACCCCCGACCTACCTCAAAGCAGTTGCATGGTGCATATGAATAATCTTGCAATAATGGAGGGCTTGTCAAATGCATCATTCAGGTTTTAATTTTGTCTCCTTGGAGTATACCGTGCTACTAATTGTTGATATATACATGTAATACAATCTGTAAACTGAATTTACCTCAAATGTTTTAAAAAGGTAACGTTCTTACCCAAATGTGTTAACTCCTTGTATGTGATGTCTCAAATTCTTTGATGGTCAATAGATGCTCTTGGAAAGCATAGTACTAATCTTGGACATCATGAACCAAAAACAATATTTTGTAGAAAACACATACAAATATTCATTGACACTTCCCATCTTACATGATGGTTTTTTTTAATCCTGTGTTTAACAAACATTTGGTCTCTGCATAAACCAGAACTTGATCCCGCTGGTCATTCATTGGATGAGTGTACCAGCTCTCATCCAATAAATATTTTAACATATAGATTAGGAAACCGTGCACAAACTTTTTTTTTTTTCAAGTTTTACAATGTTACTTAAAGGGACACTGTAGGCACCCAGACCACTTCAGCTCATTGAAGTGGTCTGGGTGCTGTGTCCCTTTTGCACCTAGCCACACAGCCACTAGAGGGCTTCCGGAATTCAAATGGACTTTTGGTACGTTATGTGACACTGGACGTCCTCACGCTCAGCATGCTTTTATAAAAATTGTATTGAGTGATTTTCAATGTATTATGCAGTGGCACAAATTCATAGAAAGGAAGGGTCCTTTTTTTAAAGGGATCACTAGAGGATCCTGGAGTGCCCCCGTCCTGTCCCCATCCCACGTTCGTTGCTGAAGGGGTTAAAAACCCTTCAGACACTAATCTGAATCCAGCGCTGTCGTCCTTCTGCTCTTTGGGGAGGTCTAATGCGCCCGCAGCCGTTGCCATGAATGCACATTGGGTCTCCCCCGTCGGCTGATGTCGGCGGAGGAGCATGGGTGGAGTCTGACCCAGCGGTGGATTTACCCCAATAGTGCCAGGAAAACTACTTTACTATAAGTTTGTCACCATCTTCCCACTTTTGCCAATTTTGGAATTGCTTGGCAAAAACAAGGTTTCTCCCGGTCTACTCTGTAGCCCTAATAATATGGAAATTGACAGGACGTGCATGCTCATTCTTGCATTTTACTCCAATGCTGGACTGATGCTTGATTACATGGAAATTGCCGTGGCAGCTGCAGAGAGGTTGGACTGGAGTTGTTGGTATAGCCCAGACATAGGCAATTTTGGGCACTCCAGATGTCTTGGACTACACCTCCCATGCTTTGCCAGCATTATGGGTTTAAGAGCATTATGTGGGATGTAATCCACAACATCTGGAGTGCTGAAGGTTGCCTATCCATGGTATAGCCTATGGATTCCTTAAAGGAACACTATAGTCTCCTAAATTACTTTAGCTAAATAAAGCAGTTTTAGTGTATAGATCATTCTCCTGCAATTTTACTGATCAATTCAGTAATTTAGGCGTTTAATAACCTTTTCTGTTTATGCAGCCCTAGCCACACCTCTCCTGGCTATGATTGACAGAGCCTGCATGAAAAAAAAAACTGGTTTCACTTTCAAACATATGCAATTTACCTTAAATAATTGTATCTCAATCTCTAAATTGAACTTTAATCACATACAGGAGGCTTTTGCGGGGTCTAGCAAGCTATTAACATAGCAGGGGATAAGAAAATCTTAATTAAACAGAACTTGCAATAAAGAGAGCCTAAATAGGGCTCTCTTTACAGGAAGTGTTTATGGAAGGCTGTGCAAGTCAGATGCAGGGAGGTGTGACTAGGGTTCATAAACAAAGGGATTTAACTCCTAAATGGCAGAGGATTGAGCTGTGAGGCTGCAGGGGCAAGGTCTATACGCCAAACCTGCTTCATTAAGCTAAGGTTGTTCAGGTGACTATAGTGTCCCTTTAAATGAATGGCTTGATATTTAAAGGAACACTAAAGTCACCTAAACAACTTTAGCTTAATGAAGTAGTTTGTGTATAGATCATGCCTCTCGGGTTTTACTGTTTAGTTCACTGCAATTTAGGAGTTAAATCACTTTGTTTCTGTTCATGCAGCCCTTGCCACACCTCCACTAGCTGATTGACACAGCCTGCATGAAAAAAACTGTTTTCACTTTCAATCAGATGTAATTTACCTTTAAAGGGACTTTACCGCACATACTTCATAGGGCGGCATTCATGCAGCCCTATGAAGTCATGAGTGCACATGCGTGTGAGCTGATCTCAGCTCGCGGTCTTTGCCCGCCCCCTCTACTCTGCTGACAGGCAGGAGAGAGAAGACGCGCGCACAGTGCCTTCTCTCTCCTGCACACGTCAGACGTATTTTAATACGTCTGACGTGTACATGGCCTTTTTAGGGCCATACATGATAGGAAGTCCCTCTGGTGGCCGTCCGAGTGACGGCCACTGTAGGTATTCCTATCAATCAATGTAAACACTGTATTTGCCCTGCTTGTAGGCACTTCCCCCAACAGGGAAAACCTCCTCTATGACTGACACTCTGGTTTTGTTGCCAAGCTGCAGGTTTCACCTCACACTTCCTATACTCCCAGCCGGTGTTAGCCAGAGCTTTTAGAATCTCCCCCTCCTCTTTTCCTGATTTTACAAAGTGCAGATTTAAATAAAAATTTACCCTTTTTTTTACCTGGATTTCAAGGGGACAACCTTTTACTTCCTCGTTTGGTTAGCTCAGTTGAGCTAAACATGATAGACTGCAATTGCCCAGAGAACCTGGCTTGCAAAGACATTGTACTGCATTTGTAAGTCTGGACAGCTACAGAAAGTGTTGGCCAGGTTACAAGGGGGAGGTCTTGAAAAGGCATCAGACAAGAGAAATGGATGTTTTGCAAGCTGTTTAGCTATAACCCCAATAAAAAATGCATAATTAGATGCATTCATGTGTTTATTGGGGGCATACCTATTCAGTTTTTATTTTATTTTTTATTTTTGTAGTCACCCATATCCCTTAACGGAACACTATATGGTCAGGAACACAACCATGTATTCCTGACCCTTTAGTGATAAACCGCCCCATTTCCCCCTAAAAGTTAAATCTTCATTGTATTCGTTTGCAGCTGCTGCTTCTGCCCCATAACTGCCTGCATGCCTGACATGAGAAGTGGTCTGAGCCAATCACAATGCTTTCCCATAGGATTGGCTGGGACTGTCAAGGAGGCAGATGAGGGGCAGAGCCAGCAAAGATCAAACACAGCCCTGGCCAATCAGCATCTCCTCATAGAGGTCCATTGAATCAATTTGTCTCTGAGGAAAGTTCAGTGTCTGCATGCAGAGGGTGGAGACACTGAATGGAAGTGCTGCACATTGGGCAGGACTGCTTAAGGAAGCGCCTCTAACGGCTATTTGAAGAGTGGCTACTGGAGTTATCACTAGGCTCTAATGTAAAAACTGAATTTTTTTTCTGAAAATGTTTACTGCAAAATGCCTGAAGGAAATGATTCTACTTATCAGAACTACAAACTTGTAGTTGTTCTGTTGACTAGTGTCACTTTAATCTCAGTGAAGCTGTGTGGCGGCAGTGGTGCTTTCATTTTAACTACAGTTTGATCAATCTAATATTTCCAGAACCAATGCAGATTATTGGTCACCTTTGAGGCCGATTGCTGATATTCTGTAAATATAACATTTTGAAAAAGCAACGCAATTTCTGCGCAACTCTGGTATTAACTGAACATGCAATCGCAATCCTATCCTGGTTAGCCAGCCCAATACATTACAGCAGATTACTCAGTCAGGCAGGTGACTGGGAGAAGTAAAGTGAGGGACATCGGCGCTGGATTCAGGTAAGTGACTGAAGGGGTTTTAATCCATTCAGCCCCGTGGGATGGGGCAGTGAGGGGACCCACAAATGCCTATTAAACTTATTGTGCCAGGAAAATCCCTTTAAAATTTAGTTGGACCCTCCCCAAAATACTCCCTCGGAGCCTTAAGACTGAATCCGCTGAACATGCCCAGTTTTGTCTGCCTTTGGCAGGAGTGAAAATAACAGACCTTTTTAGTTGCTTTTAAATCAAGTCACATACAATTCTTGAGCCACAATCCAGTCACCACTAAATTTAAGTGTCCTGTTTGTCCATTTGAAATGTTGAGGTATGCCATTAGAAGCACTCGCTCCTCCAGACAGCAAATCAAATGTGTTTTAAGGGTGTGCAGCATGTTTGTTTATGCGTACCTCAAATCCATTGCTTCTACCTGAGAAAGTGTGGGTTGGAGAAGATCAGAAAGACCTCAATGGGTGGTTAGCTGCAGCAAAGAAGTCCCAGCACTGGAAATGTTTGTTTATTTGCAGAACTATAGGTTCCTTCTAAATCATCATAATCACTTTCTCTTTTTATTTTTTATTATTTTTTTAAGTAAAATGCAGCAGCTAACTTTTCTTTTAAAAGCCTTTCAAAGTGCAAAATTTGTCTGTTCTGTCTTTCTTGCTGCCTGTTAAAATGTTTAACCTGTATCCTAATTTTGTAATTGGGTTACTTTTTGAATGAACGATCACTGAGTAAAGCTGTTTGCTTTACATAAACTAGCCAAAATGGGACAAATGAATGATTCAATTGTATTTTATGTTGTGGGTGTTTTGGTATGGTAGTGGGAGGTTTACCAAACTCAAATTGGAAAAGCTCTTTTGACAGACCAGCTCATACAAGCTTTTAAAACATGTGCAGGAAAGGTTAATGGCTATGAGACTACAGGGAAAGTTTGCCAGATGCACACACCTATGCAAATAAATATTGCTTGTTTGTTGTAACTTGCATTGAATGTAGGAAAGAATGTTTATTAAAGGAACACTTTTTGCACAATTACCACTATATTACATTTTATTGGAATGTCAGGAGTACCCTTGCTCCTCTCTCTGCTTGAGCCAGGCTCAGCTGACTGGCTTGGAGTAATCAGCTGACACCCACTCAGCCAGTGAGCTGAGCCCTGAAATTGCTGGGTTTAGCACAGGAAGAAGGTAGCTTCTGGCCCTATGCTGCAGAACTTAGCTGTGGGAAACTAGCACTCCTAGTATTCGTTTTTCTGCTTGACTCCTTAGTTTGCTATAACTGTTATGATCCTTATAGCATTTTATTGTTCCAGCAGTTGAGCAGGAAATGGTACAAGTGGATGAAGTGGGATGACTATTGTAGGGACTAAAATGACAGATTTCAGTCTCTAGCTGCAGGTCACATCATTATAGACTGGTCAGCACTTTTACTGGTTAACTTTTTAAAATTATTTTTGTTGTGCACAAGATAACAAAGAAGCTTACAATGCCGCATAAGCAAGTACAATAATATCGTATCAGTACACATATATGGCATTAAGTGTAGATATCAACAAACTAAACATACACAACATGCAATATGTGGTAGATTTTATAGGTAGAGTAGTAATAAAATCTCATGAGGGGTTTCAAAGAAAACATGCGCTAGAGGTTGGTGAACGGTGACATTAGTATGCGTGAGAAGTGTGCATATTACCACACTTCAAGAAAATTCAGCCTCTGTGTGCTTTGGGGTTATGGTGAAACAAGCTAAGTACTACCATCTTTGCACGTTGTGCAACAATGCCATTACTAGGCTAGACATGTATAGCAATTATGAAACTAGCAGCACTGTAACAGCTGAGTGCCATGAGGGTAAACCACAGTATCTATATTCTCCTACTCCTACCTGCACTTTCTATATCACGTATTAATATTCATGCATAGTTATGGATATGGGTAGTAAGGAAAGTAATATGAAATCTGAAACTTAAAACATAGGGGATAGTCTAAATAATTTGCGTGTCGAGCTGTGCACATATGTAATCCGCCTGTTGTGTTCTCTGGCAGCAGTCTGGCACCGGGGTCAGCCAACTCCGTATTGCAAGGCTGGTGTGGTGCTGAGTAGATCCGGGTGAGTAACTGCAGGGTTGTGCCTACCTACTTTCCAACTCCAGGCTGTAGTGAGGGTCTGCATCTCAAATCCTCGGGCTTGGGTATTCCCAGGAGCCAAATCCCAGCTCTGTCCGGAACTAGTAGGGGGTTTGGTTGTTAAAGACCATCGTCAGCGAGCAGTCTTCCGCTTTTGCGGTAATTGCAATAAAGTATTGCCTCTGGGAGATCTTTGCACTGGCTTGGGTTGAACAGGCGCAGGTGTTGTGTGCTTGCCTTGAGGAGGACTGTCTGGCTTTGACAGGTTGGTTCCTATACTGACTGCACCATGCTCCATAATGGCAGCTTGTGCCCGGTCATGAAGTCGTGCTCTGGAATCGCGTTGAGCTTGTGCATGGTGTGCTCCAAAGAGCCGGGCTGAGGTGGTTTAGGCAGGCCCAGTGCTCCTTGTGTTGCCATTTTGCCTGAGCCGTGTGGTCGGAATTCAGCTCTACTGTGACTAGATAGCGTAGGTAAGTGCAGAGTGAGTCACTCAAGATATGCATGTGGGGACCGGGACAACAGATAGCAGTGAGAACGGACCTGGAAACAAGAAGGGTTTCCTGCGGGTTACAGGCTTGATTAAGGTATCAGATTGTGCAGCCGGGCACTGGGGCTCAGATGGTGCCCTTGGGTGGGTTTGGTTTGCAGGTTTTTCTACCCCAAAATGGGCTCAAAATGCAGGACCTCAGATACCCCACGTCTGCTCTGCTCAGAAGCTAGGATCCGCCCCTTTACTGGTTAACTTTTAACATGGTAGATGACCATGCTAGTTTTCCTCTTTTCTGTTTTTTTTTTTTTTTTAATTTTATTTTATTAAATATTTTTTTAGATTTTTAAAAATCCCTATTTACAAAAGAAATCTAAAGAGAATAACTTCCTTATCCCTTCATTGGACAAGTCCTGGTTCAGTTCTGTGTGTGGCAGTGTTCGTCAGTTGGTACACACCATTCTCTTTCGGGATGGTGTCCAAAAATGATGGCTAATAAAGCTAGATGCCAGAAAGTTGAGTAGCACTGCCACTATGCGGCTCTCACCTGGCAGTCAGTCCCCGCCCCTAAGATCTTTTAATGTCTAGTATTGCTAGAGTTGTTAAATACTAATTGTGGCAAAACTAGCCACTTATGACTGTATTTGCATTAATGTGTTGCTATAGCTTTAAGGTTGTTAGAACCAAGTGTATTCAGATATATGTATTTCATGCGAACAAGAGCATTCGTATGCTGGCGGCATGAAAGCCACCAGCATACATACAGTAGTTTCACGAACAGTGAATTTCAACACTGTTTGTGAAACGAATAAACTACCGAATGGGCGACCATACACAGGAGGTCGTGTGGCGCCCATTAACCGATTGCAACATTGTTACAATCCGTAGTTAAGTGTTTTCCTAGGTGGCCGTCGTTCGGCTACCGACCACATGGCGGTCGGTCATCTTGGATTCTTTGTTAGCCCAGCAGTATTTGGTCATCGAGCGCCTGGAACTAAAACCGGCTACTCAACGGCACGAATACCGCTGGACTTCCAGGTCGTTCAGGAGCCCCGGTCATTCGGCAGGTTATTCCCTTACAATCAATCGGTGTTTTAAATGTAACTAGGAAATAATGTGTATTTCGCTCGGTTAGTTATGCTGGGATCTGAGCGGTATTCTCACGAACTGTGCGCTCAGACCCCAGCTATCTCCGAACGTCCATTCGTTTAAATATAGTGAATAATGTGAAAGTTTTATATATTTTAATGTGAAATATTGGTTCTGCTGCACGGAGGGATCATCCACTTAACTGTATATTCTAGTGGGAGTATCCCTCTCGGCCAGCAGTGCATGATGGGAGAAATGTCCAGGTTACCAAGTCCCCCATGTAGTCCCCTACTGTACAACCCCTGGAATGTCAGTAAGGAAACCCCTTGCATGGGGACTTGCATAAATACTGTGACCTGTGAATAAAACCTCAGTTGACTCCCAGTTTATGTGTCGTCTGGTTCTTGGGGGGGGAAGGATTCTTACTACGCTACCGGGATTATTGTATCCATTTACCTGGATTATTTTATGCTGTTCCTGTTACCCAGTGGAGATACCGTGGATTATACTACCTCTCCGCTACACTAATGCTTGAATTTACTTAATTTAAATCTTAAACCTGTACTCCAGTATTGTTCAATGGAACTTTTTGTTTACACTATGACAAAATGTTGGTTCCATTTAAAGGACCACTATAGGCACCCAGACCACTTGAGCTTAATGAAGTGGTCTGGTGTCAAGTCCATCTAGGTTTAACCCTGCCTGCTAGGTTTAACCCTGTTTACATTAGGGTTAATCCAGCCTCTAGTGGCTGTCTCATTGACAGCCGCTAGACGCGCTTCTCACTGATTTTCACAGTGAGAAGATGCTGCTGTCAATAGGAAAGCATTGAGAATGCTTTACTATGGACTGACTGCGCGCGGCTCTTGCTGTGCATGCGCATTCAGCCGATGGCGTCCGGAGGAGGAGAGTCCCCAGCGCCGAGGGAGCCCGGTGCTGGAGAACGGTAAGCCTGTAAACCCTTCCTCTCCCTAGAGCCTGGCGGGAGGGGGACCTATTAATACTATAGTGCCAGGAAAACGAGTGTTTTCCTGGCTTTATAGTGGTCCTTTAAAAATACCATAAATCGTGTTCTTTAGGTATTTATTGCCAGATTACACAGAATCTGTTCCATTTTTATAATTTCAAAAACGACATTTGTAGCAATTGTAGTTATATATATTTTATTCATCAAATTTTTAAATGCTTGATCAATATTTGTGTGTACCTCTTTAAGTTTTGTGTCTGACTTTATACATAATTCATATCTATCTTTTTTTTTTTTTCTCTTCATCCAGGAGGTTGCTGTGAAGCTGGAATCGCAGAAAGCGCGTCACCCTCAGTTGCTGTATGAGAGCAAACTTTATAAAATTTTGCAGGGAGGTGTTGGCATTCCACATATCCGGTGAGCAATAACATATTTCTTCTTCAGTCAGTCCTATTTAAAGTGTGTGTGTATATGTATATATTCTAGCTATCTTAAATGGTGCACGCAGTAACCATATTGTCCATTGTGCCTTTCATGTCATTTTTAACAAAGTTTAAAAGGGTACTCAAAACCTTTTCTACAATTGGCCCCTTTAGGCTTGCAATGCCCCATTTGGTATTGCTGTTAGGTTCTCCCCAGATAAAGTGGTGTGTTTTTTTTATTATTATTTTAATATATACCACTGGGCAAAACGCCTGATTCTGATCTCTCTCCTCTTTGACATTACAGTGGGCCTCATTCGTATAGAAAGAAATGGAGGGATACGGGTGTGAGAGAGAGGGCAAGCTATTAAGTCTATACTTGTACAGTGGTGGTTTGAGCCAATCACAGTGCTTCCCCATAGGATTGACTGAGATTGTGAAGGCGGCAGATTAGGGGCAGAGCCAGCACAAGTCAAACACAGCCCTGGCCAATCAGCATCTCCTGATAGAGAGGAATTGAATCAATGCATCTCTATGAGGAAAGTTCAGTGTCTGCATGCAGAGGGAGGAGACACTGAATGAAAGTGCTGCACATTAGGCAGCACTGCTTAAGGTAGCACCTCTAGTAGTTATCTGAGGAGTGGCCAGTGGAGTTATCACTAGGCTGTAATGTAAACACTGCATTTTTTCTAAAGACTGTTTACAGCAAAAAGCCTGAAGGGAATGATTGTACTCATCAGAACAAATTCAATAAGCTGTAGTTGTTCTGGTGACTAGTGTCCCTTTAATGTAGTGGTTCTAGGATGTCTATTCAGAGAAAAGGCAGTGTTTATATTGCTAGCTTGTTACACTTCTAGTGGCAGTCACTCGGATGACCACCAGAGGTGCATCTTATCTCTAAACCTATGTTCAGGGTTTCCACATTCTCCATGGAGGTGCTGAATGTTTTCCATAGGCATTCATTTTCTAATGCATCTCTATGAAGAGATGATTGGCAGTGTTTTCGGCATGTGCAGTAGCCTCCTAATGCTTTCCCATGGGAAAGCATTGGATTAGTGGAGATGAAACGCTCTCTCAGCCATGGTGGCTGGGCCAGCCGCAGCAAGACTGGTATGGCGTGGGGAAAGGGAAAACCTTTCCTATGCAATTGAAGGGTGGTTGGTAACCTAAACAAACTCCTTCTCACACAATCACAAATGATTTGTTTTAACTCAATTTATGCCCACTGGGCCTCCCTACCTTTGGGAGAGTTGGAGTGAGATTCAGTGTCGCTGCTGAATTCTTCAAGCTCTTCTTGCTCTGCTCCCTCGAACGCAGTTTACTGATGCCAGGGCCGCAGTGACGTCCTAGTCCGGCTCCTGACCTCACAACAAGGCGAGTGAGCAGAGCAAGTGCATAAAGTGCTTCCCAATGGAGACCAGAAAGTAACTCGCCCTTCATTACCTCACATGGGGAGAAGATGGACATTTATACAAATACAAAAAGATAAGTCCTGCACTCACTCCCATGACTACAGTACACATCAGCCCCAATATATAGTAAAAACCAAAGAAAAGAAAGTTACCTGCGCTCTCTCTCCTTAATCCCTTTGAATATTTATACAGTTAACTCAACTATAGCAGTAGGAATGCAAATTCCTAATGCTGTAGTGCTCCTTTTAAATATATGCTTTATCAAATGTTTACTACTAGAAGAAAAATATAATTTCTCATGTGTGGGAAGATCAATAAAAAAAAAAGCTGCAAAAGGATACTGAGACCGGACAAAAGCTTGAATAACTTTCGGTGGGTGGGTAGATCAGTGCATCTAAATGAAACTTTATATTCACCTATGTGTAGCACTAGAGCCTGTAGTTTAATCCATGTGATCGGATCTACTGTATGGCTGTTTTTGATCCAAAAGGGAACCGAAGCTTATAATGATGCTGAAGGTCAATGAGTCAGCTATTCTGCTCTTCACATGAAGTCATTAAACTTTTTCTTTAAACAATGTAGCAAGCACACAAAATGCCAGACTAAGTCTTATATGCTTGATTGCTTTCACTTTATTGGATTCTATGCATGATACAAAGGTCAAAGCTGAGTGGGCGGAGAAACTTGTAAACTAGATATTAATAATTTCACTATAATAGTGGTTAAAAAGCAATGTTAAGTGACATTTGTCACTGCAACAATTTCTAATGCTATAATCCTGTTGCGTATTAAGAAAATATTAACTTAGTTTTAATGAAGTATATGTAAAAAAAAAGACGCGAAACCTACCTCTTTCACGGCTCTTGACTTTTTTTAAAGCTCAGATATTGGGACTACTTTACGCCATAACTAAATAGCATTATCAAGGTCCCATATCAACAGGACAAGAAAAAAAAAAAGAAAGCAGAATAACTCTGCCCCTATTTCTAGCATTAATGTTCTATTTTACATTAGTATTTTATTTGCTCATCGTCAGTATAAAATAATCTTACTATGGTAATCCTGCCCAAAACTCTCCAAGGGTCCCATTTCTTAACATTATTTTGTTTTCAAGAATATTTCGTGTTCCTTTCCCTCCCTTCCCTGTCCCTTGGTGTACTTCTCCCCTTCCTTTGGTGTACTTCTCCCCTCCCCTCTCTCCCTCCCTGTCCTTTTTAGTGCACTTCCAACCTCCCGGTGACTCAATTCTTGCGCCCAAAGACTACTGCCTGTGCTGAGCCACCGCTGCCTCACATTATTGGCAATATGCGTATCAATAGTGGACGATACAAATATTTGCCAAAATCCAAATATCGGCCGGTGTGATTATCGGTCAATCTCTAATCTATTTCCTTTCAAATCTTTACGAAAGGTCTATTAAATAGTGTTGAGGTGACTGTCACGGAATGAATTGGATTTTCTGGTTTTGATATAAATTTCACACTGCAATCCGGTTTACCACCTTTTTAGAACAGTAGACTTCAATAAATCTTCCCCCAGTTTTTCTTTGGAAGTGAAAAATTAAGTAACGTGTATGTTCGAGAAGAAAAATGGCAACATGTAGGCTTTTGCTAAAAGTAATATGTGGTTTTCTGAAGCTCTGCCTTATTAGCCAATCTTTAGGTAAAACAAATTTCCCTTTAAATGGAGCACTCTGGGATTTTGCAATGTTGATTCAGTCACTAGCAGCATTCTCAAGAGCTGTTTAGTTAACAGGATGCTACCCAGATGTTTTAGAAAGAAGGCATAGTAGGCAGTTAGGATAGAACTTGAACAGCTCATATTCACCACGTAATATCACGGGAGCTTTTAGTCCTCAATTGTTGTCAGATGACTCTTTAAAATAGGACCAGCAACCTGTCAATGACTTAATACTTATTTTTTCATATTTTAAGGTTGTCTTACGTTGGTGCTTTGAGAATTTTGTAATATACCTGTTAATACATACATGCTGGATTGTTTAAATCTTAGTGTAGTTTTTCTCTTTTTTTCAAATGGACAGTTAATATTATTTTTTGTTTAGATGGTATGGGCAAGAAAAAGACTACAATGTTCTAGTCATGGATCTACTCGGGCCTAGCCTTGAAGACCTCTTCAACTTTTGCTCCCGCAGATTTACTATGAAGACCGTACTAATGCTAGCAGATCAGGTATGTAAAGTGTTGTCCCAGAATAAGCAACTTCATGACCCTTAAGTATGACGTAAAGCAGAGCAAGAACTATCTTAACATGTGGGGTCAGTCTTTTTATTCAGAACTTATTCATGATCTATTTTTTAATAAAGAAAAATAAAATCAATCAGCATGAGAACGTTCAGCGTTATGTGACCAAAAGTTGCCTAGTGGCTATTTGGTAGACTGCCACTAGAGGTGGAGTTAACCCTGCAATGTAATTATTGCAGTTTATCAATAACAATTACAGGGTTAAACTGACACACTGCACCCAGACCACCTCAACGAGCTGAGGTGGTCTTAGTGTCTAGTGTCCCTTTAACTTTCAACCTCCTTTCATTACACCTACCACATGTTCTGATGTTGCTTCTATCCTGAACATATCCAGTCACACCTCTTCTCAAGCCTTGGTGTATCTTCAAACTTTCAACCCACCCAATTCCCTAATTTTTAAGACTTTTGTGGTAGTAGGTAATACCACCTATATTTTTTTTTTCCCCCATTAATATTTATTCTTCCAGCTTATTAAACAATGCAAGTGGAATTGCAGGCTTGGCTTCCACCCACCATTTTATCTTTATTAAATATTTTTTAAAAACTATTTTTCTCTTTTGTAGATGATCAGTAGAATTGAATACGTACATACAAAGAATTTTATACACAGAGACATTAAACCAGACAATTTCCTAATGGGTATCGGACGTCACTGTAATAAGGTTAGTTTGTTTGTTTTCTTAAGTGAGCAAGTCTAAGTATTTGAAAATCAATTTCCTGCCTGCTTTTATTTTTGTAAATTGCTTGTTGCACTAGCATTTTGACGCGTGTTTGTGCATTTATCTTTTAATAAGTCTGCATTACATCTGCCCTAGTTAAGCAGTCACATCGTAACATAAGTTTTTGTTGTAATGTGCAAGTTTCTCTAGGTCTGTCTAGATACAATTAAAGGAAAAACTATATAGCTATGAAAGATATAATTAAAAGAGGAAATGTGTCAATACTACGGAGTTAAAAAAAACACACGATTGGTCCATAATCCCAGTCTTTATAGTCCATAATGTAGCCTTGATAGCCATTTTCTTGTATTGGAGCCCTTGTTTTATTTTTAGTTTAACACAAAGCTGCCAATAAACCTTGCTAAAACTGTAGGGAAAGTGGCTAAATTTGTATTTGTAAACTTAGTGTTTGTTTACAGAGTAATTTAAGCATAAGCCTTTGGTGGGGGGGAGGGTACCTGCATGTAGTACTGGCACAGCAAATACCTCCTTTAATTATCGCTCTTGTATTTGAAACTTGACTATTGCACCTTTTGAGGCCTATATTGCATGACTTTGCTATATTGTGTTTTCTGTTTTGTTTTTTTTTCTTCAATATTTTGTTCCCTTGCTGTATAGCATTAAAACTTAATGAGCTAAATAACATGCTTCCTTGACAGTGTCAATATGTATAAATCGGGCAGACAGGCAGCAATTGGCAAATCAATAAGCATGCCGTGCGTTATTTTTCTTTCTGGTTAACTTTTCACCCTGGGGTCATTGTTAGAAATTTTCTAAGTAGGGGACAAATGTACACCACCTTATTGGAAGCAAGATTGCCAATTCATGTTTTGGGGGTATATATTAAAAAAATAAAAAATTTCTGTGATCAATTTTCTCAATTCTAGTTAATGTTTACCTTTGTTTGCCTGTATGAATGCCAACTTGAGGCCAGAATATTCTAAGTGATTTACGTTCTGACCAAGGTGCATGGTCCAACTGAAAACAGAATCAAAGTGGTCTTTCATTTTATTAAAAAATTTATATTACTTTTTTATTTTTAAATCCGTGGAACAAGAGACTTGGCTGAGTTGACAGGTAAAGACCATACATTCATAGAATGCTTTATTGCACATTTCATCCTTTCCTTTTGGTTCTATTTGCTTGGGAGGAGTCTTTCTCTAACTGCATTATTTGGTTAGGCCTGCTCACATAAACGTAACCACACACTTCTAATCACCTAAACTGACAGCCCAATATAATTTAGAAACAATCCCAGTTTAGATATTCAATTATGCACTTTAATGGCCTGCAATAAATGCAAGTTGTAAATCTAACTTGATATGTTTAGTCGATGCTAAAGAAAAGTAATCCTCTTAAGTAACGTCAAACTTACATTCCCTATTTAAATTTTTTTTTTTTTTTTTTTTTGATTGGATCGCTTAGGGGATTAGAAATGTGTATTTGTGTGTGAGGCAAATGTTTTTTTCTTTGAGCAGATCTAACTACTAAATGCATTGCAGTTTTCTAAGAAAATACTCTAAATAACCTGCAATGGTTATATTAACTATAAAGACCTCTAGTTTCATTTTAAACCAGTTGATTTTATTTTAATTTGCGCATCCTTTTTCCTTAAACCTCTTACCACGCATTTACCCATCTTATCCCCAGCAAAATTATCTGTACCCTGAAATTCCATCTTGCATATGGTTATATAATAGGGGGTGCGCTGTACTATCAGCAAGTAAATGTAGTGTCCCTGTCCCTACCCCACACATCATTTAGTAAGCACAGTTTATTTTCGAGGTTTTGTTTTTTGTTTTTTAAGCATTGGTTATCCCATTCTCTGCATCCTAGATTGCCAAAAATAGGTTTGGCTCAAACTATCTAAACCCAGCAAGATTTATATAGGTGAATCCAGGTATGCAGTCCTATTCCTGGCACACTAAACTTAATAGGCACAAGTCTGTGGTAATCTTGTTCCAGTAGTGTTAAGATGCATTATAATGTCCCTAAATATCTGGCAAACAGGAGGGATGATTTGAAATGCCAGACTTTCTAATGTAGGAAGAAAGCCCTGCATGCTTATCACTGTGATCTCTTCAGGTGACTAAATGCCTTACACCTCTTCCTTACTGTAGATCTCTACCTTTTTTTTTATTAAAAGCTATTGGGGAGGATAACTTGAGAAAGGGCCTTTTGGGAAACAAGTACTTGCTGTCCATTTTCTTTCATTCCTAACTGGCTAATTGCTGGCCATGTTGGCAGCTTGTCAGTCGTGGAATGATTAACAATATTAAATGAGAACTGTCACTTCCCAGGATTTTAATATGAAGTTTACTTTCCCTGTACTAAAGAAATGTTTGAGGTCAGTAAACATGCTGGGATATTAAAAGTGCATTTCAAATTTAAGTAGCCAAACTGGAAGCATGGAGAAGGTTTCCAGTTTTGCTATTTTAGCCTTAAAGTTTTAAATTCACTTTGCATTTTCACTTGTTTAACTCTGTAAATGTAGACCTTTTACAGAAATGTATTTAACCCTCTGAGAACAGTGGCCCATTTTACTTCCTCCCAATCATAGTTCTAAGCTCTACCCTCTGTACCTTGTAGTCTGAATTGTAGAAGTGCACTTTCTCCTTCTCCACTCAATGCTGTGTATGCACTGGCTCTACTGTACTGATGTCCGTTGCAAACATATTTTATTCTAATGTCAAAAGAAAACAGAGGATCCCATGAGGGGGAAAGAAAATAGGTTATCACATGCTATAGGCCATTTTCCCTTTTTGATTGGTGTAATATCTAGAGAAGTGACAGTTCCCCTTTAAAATCTGTTGCAATGTGGTGGTTAGTCAGTGGGCAGTATCGTCTCAAATGACCCTTTCTCAAAGTTGAAATTTGTTTCAGTGGAGGAACAATTCTGAATTGGTTGGGGGAAATGCAAATCTAGTTACTGTAGCTGCTTGGTGGAAGGAGGATGGCATTTGACTCCTGTACTTTACCGCCTCGGTGTTGCCTGTCTGCGCCGGCCAATGTTGCAATGTAAGCAATACTGTTTGATGCACTGCCACCCTCTATTGTCTGTCCAGTGTTTAGAATCTCCAGTGGGGAAGAGGAAAAGAAGCATGACTGTTAGTACTTCTCAGGACCCATCTTTCTCAGGATTAAACCAGGTCTGAAAACTCTCCTATTCCAAACTCCATCTTTTTATCCTTTTTGGTTTCCCTTTTATTCCCGCTATTGTTTTATTCTTAACATCCCTTCTTCAGTCAGTATAGGCCTTGCACAAGAACCTCTTATGTTGGCATTATTCAGACATACTTGGCAAACATGTAACATTACATTTCCTCTAGTTTTTGCTTATTGACTGTGTAATGTTTGCAATGTGTTTTTTTTATTTTTTTAAATTTTCTAAATGTATACCATTTTTGATGCAAAAGCGCATGCCTCAGGGCGAAGAAAACTAAACTATTTTATATCCATGCTAGGATTGTAACATAGCACATACAAGAGGTATGTGCCAGGAGCCCATGGTTTGAGTAGTCTTTCATATTCAGAGATTGTATGTTACTCTATGGACTATTTGAAATCATACAATCTTTGTTTTTGTTTTATTGGAATGTTTAAAGCTGGCAGTCAGCATGAAAAGCGTAAGACTTCACCTGCAAGATCTGCTTATTACACTTCCTGGCTCTCATACCAATGAACTGGTATGTCCGCATACACTAATGCCTGACTTGACTGCTGTGTAGTCCTGTGTGTGCTAACAGAATAGTACACCTCTAGACTGGGATAGTTTTCCTCTTCTAATCACTATTTTGACAAAATTAAAACACACTTTAAAAAAAGCCAGAACTGTTTCCTAGCAGGAAGAGTTTATGGTACCTAGAGGTCCATTTGCACTAAACTGATTTGCTTTAGCAGCAAATTTATAGTATGTACTCCGTTTTGCCAATTTACTCTTGAGCCATTAGCCAGTGGAGTGTTGTAACCAGCTCTCAGTCTGCAGCCACCTAAGGCAATATAATGTAAATTGTTGGCACATTTAATGGTCACCTTGCCACTGTTCCCAATAGCTTAAACATAATTCACATTGATGTCTGCTAACTGGAGTGTCCAGGAATCCTGATATGTGATCCTACTCTAGTCAGGTGTTTTTATAAATTAGCAGATGCACATCATGGAAGAGGCTCCTCATGTTTTAGGAAGTGTCTGTAAGCAAGGCCAAATTCATCCATGGGAAGGCAGCAAGGTGCTTCTGAAGGGTCTGTTTTACAGATGTGTAAAACCATAAAAATTATAACCATTCCTAAAGCAACAAAGTGTATAGTTTTTCTTTTCTCTGTGCAAGAATACTGTTCAAAAAGACTCCTTGCTCCATAACTACAGGAAGCTATGCTTGGATTTAACTTTGGGTGTCCATTGCTATGCAGGTAATGGTGCGTAGCAATATTGCCTTTTTGCAAGATCTTTAGTTACATTGATTTCCTCACACTACTGCCCTTTGTGGGAATGTTTAATGGGATATGTAAACTCTAAATAGCTTTTCACTGGGACATCACTATAGTCAAATGTGATAAATATCTTCTGTTTAAGGTGCCAGGTAACTTCAGTTTTCTTTAAAGCATGATACACTCATAATGTAGCCCATTTGCACAATTAACGTCCACTATATAACTTCCTCGTGTAGAAGTTTATGTAAGAGCAGTACATTTTCTGGGGGGTGGAGCCAGCATTGAAACTGACAAGACGTACTGTGAGTGAGCTCCAGTTTACAGCTTTCCAAGAGCCTAATGACATATCAGCCACCACGTCTATTAAATATGATGCCTACTATCATGGGAAGGTGTTCTAAGAAGCTGCGAGTTCCCCATATATAGGGGAATATCTGGCCTGAGCAGACATGCCCCTAACTGTGCCATGGAGGGATCTTTGCAGGAGCAGCTGTTGAGTGCACCAGACAATTTCTCCTAATTGCATCTATACCACCCTTCCTTGGCTGAGGAAGACAGAACTCCCTCTTGAGGACATCAAGGCTCTTGGGGAATTGTAGAAACTACTAGCGACTGAGATGGGGAAGGTCTGGAAGGAAGTACACAAACTCTGAGGCAATGTGACGGCAGTGGAGTACCTTAGTAGTTTCGGTGTGTGGTACAGATTAAAGCCTTAGCTGGCCTTCAGGGGACTTGTGAGACTATGCAGGCCAGAATGGCGGCCTTTTGAAGATGGCAGTCTCCTCAAACCTATTAAGATCCAAGGCGTTCTTGACTCTGTGGCAAAGTTGCCAGCTTATAGCAACCGTTTATTCATGACCGTGCTATTGAGCAAGTCTACTGCCACTATTTTGGTTGATGGGCTCTTTAAAGTCTCCAACAAGGGTTCTTATGTTCGCCTAGCTGTTCCGCATGAGGTGGTAAGCCATAATGAAAGTTGCTAAATATGAACCTGATATAAATTTGAGGGCAAGGTTTTTTTTCCCTCCTCTGGACCTTTTTCGAGCCACCCTGAGATGGAGGGTCTTTGTCACCGCGCTACTCAGTCAAAGGAATCTCCTGTCTTTGGGGATTCCTAGGTCCCTGATAGCCATTATTGGAGTAGGGCTTCTGTCTCTGTACTCAGTTCTGCCATTTAAGAGTAAAATCCCTTCTGTTTATGCAGCCCGCTCCACACCTTCCCTCAATGTGATTTACAGTCTGCGTTGTGGTATGAAGGTTTAATTTTTAATCAAATGTTTACTTTAAAGTTTTGTTTCAGGCTCTGTAAACTGAACTCTAATCACACACTGCTTCTGCAGGGTCTAGAATGTTATTAACCATGCAATAGATACATGTTTTATATTAAACAGAAACATTAGACATCATGCAAAAAATCTGCAATTTTTTGGGTGGCTTGATGCTCAATCCAATGTTGAGTGAAGAAATGGAACATTCAAAGCGTCATAACATCACAGATAACTGTAGTGAGCATAGCTCACTACAGTTTATGCTTATGAACCTCTGGCTTTCTGGCATTAAAAGCGGAGACTTTAGAGAAGTCAAACTGTTTAATCACTAAGTACTTAGAATTTTTAGTGGGTGCAGGGCAGAGCACATCTGGCACCATAGCGAGCTGTAGTGGTTATGGTGCCTGGCATGTTTCCTTCACTTACAAATGTGTGCATCTTTTTTATATTAAAGTAGCTCTTGAATTGGTAACTGCTAATTTGAGGCATTAAAAGCTTTGGGTGTGTTCAGTTTTTGACATTCTGATTAATTTTCCAAAACTTGGCAATTAATGAACACTAATTTTTGCCGGGTGCAACAATCCTAAAGTAAACTGAATTGACTTTTGCTTATTTTGTGTGTGAGTAATGTGGATTTTATGGAAATTAATAGGTTAACGTTTAAGAAATTGTGTAACTGAAATTTTGGTTCACTTTGGGTAAACTTGTATTATAGCTGAGATTCATTTTTTTAGAAGAGGCATTTTGAAATCTACATACCTACTGTTGTCAAATGCGGTTTGTATTTGTCTAATCCTTGTTCCTTTCTTCTCAAGTTATTCCTTATAGATTTTGGTTTGGCCAAAAAGTACAGAGACAACAGGACAAGACAACACATACCTTACAGAGAAGACAAAAATTTAACTGGGACTGCCCGCTACGCTAGTATCAATGCTCACCTAGGAATTGAACAAAGGTAAAATGGCAGTTTAACATTGTGACTAAATGAGATAAAACTATAAGGATCTGAGTGAACACAAACTGACGTTTACTTGGAGACTTTCTCCAGTTCACCTATTTTGCCCTTAAATGTTAAATTCTTTGTTCCAAAAGTTCTCACTTTAGTGAATGATGTTGATCTCTGAGGAGATGGGTTGTTTTACATGATCCATTTTGAACTTAAAGGACCACTATAGTGCCCTGAGGGTGCCCCCACCCTCAGGGTCCCTCTCCCGCCCGGTTCTGGAAGGGAGAAAGGGGTAAAAACTTACCTTTTTCCAGCGCTGGGCGGGGAGCTCTCCTCCTCCGATCCTCTTCTCCTCCCATGCGGCTGAATGCGCACGCGCGGCAAGAGCTGCGCGTGCATTCAGCCGGTCACATAGGAAAGCATTATCAGTGCTTTCCTATGGATGCTTGCGTGCTCTCACTGTGATTTTCACAGTGGGAAGCACGCAAGCGCCTAGCGGCTGTCAATGAGACAGCCGCTAGAGGAATTGGGGGAAGGCTTAACCCATTCATAAACATAGCCGTTTCTCTGAAACTGCTATGTTTATAAAAGAATGGGTTAAGCCTAGCTGGACCTGGCACCCAGACCACTTCATTAAGCTGAAGTGGTCTGGGTGCCTAGAGTGGTCCTTTAATAAGAACCTTGGATCAGTGATTCTTGAAATTTCCATCCTCACTAGCTTGCTAAAATTGTTTCCCTTTTTATGGTGTTGGATCTTTCCCAGAATAGTAGAAATAAGATCTCTCAATATATTTTTCCTAGTAAGGCTTGTTTTCCTGTGGTGTTTATTTTTCTCGTTATGAGTCATGGCACAATTAAAAAATGCTCAAAATATCAAGTCACCAAGAATTCTTTTGGTTACGAAGTCACTCAAATGCAAATGTTATATTAAACTACACTTGGACACTGAATAATTTGTGGTGTTTTCCTTGAGTTGTGTCCGCTGTGAGGTTTTACCTTCTACACAAACCACATTACAAAGATTGCAGAGTGCTTCTAGAGTAAGTCTGTGATTGTCCTTTTAATAGGAAATCCCCATTCCTAGACATTAGTCATGTCCCGAACGGGATGTCCCGAACGGTACGCCGCGGATGGCAAACATATGCGCTGTTCGGTCCGCCCCCTATTCGTCATCATTGAGTAAACTTTGACCCTGTACCTCAGTCAGCAGACACATTCCAGCCAATCAGCAGCAGACCCTCCCACCTCTTGGACAGCTCACTAAGAATGCAGCTTCACAATGAATGTAAAATGGATGCTGTCCAGGAGGTGGGAGGGTCTGCTGCTGATTGGCTGGAATGTGTCTGCTGACTGTGAGGTACATGGTCAAAGTTTACTCAAAGATGACATAGGGGGCGGACCGAACAGCGCATATGTTCGCCGTTCGGGACATCACTACTAGACATACCATTCCATGTCCTTGCTTATTCCTTTCCTAGGATGCAGTTTAAGTATACACAATTGTAATGGCATCTGGATGACTTTGTATTTTTATTTTATTTTTTCTTAGTCGCCGTGATGATATGGAGTCATTGGGGTATGTGCTTATGTACTTCAACAGAACCAGCCTTCCTTGGCAAGGATTAAAGGTAGGTCATACCCTCATACACAATTTCCTTCCTTCATTTTGCGTAAATCTTGGCATAAATGCATTCTATAGGATACCTGAACTGATTCACCCTGCATCAAAGGGTTCTTTTAAAAACAAGTAGTCACACCATAGTTTTCTGAAGTCTTGTATGTTTTCTGGCGTGTTTTTGTGGAGTGTTTACGGTGCTTGACCTTTACTCGTACAGATAATCTGAATACTAAAGTGTTAGGAATGCAAACCTGTCCTGCGTGTGCAATAAAAAAAAAAGTAGTTTTCTTCTCCCCAGCTAAGACTACATTGACTCTGCTTATCTCTCCACCTTCCACACTGTCATGGAGGAAGTATGGCTTAGTCCTCGCTTGGACCAATCCACCGGCGCGTGCATGTCCAAGCTTCCCTGTAGGAAAGGATTAAATCTAGGCTTTCTTATGGGGGCTTTTATGTCGCATGACAGTTTTACTTGGTTAGTGCCATTGAAGTGGTTCTAGGGAGAGGTAGCATTAACCCTGCAATGTTAAAGGGACACTATATAGTCCCTAGAACCACTACCACTTAATGTCTTGTGTCTATAGCCTGTCCCTGATGACTTTTCAGAGAAAAGGCAGTATTTGCCTCTAGAAGTGTTATTAGGCACCAGTGTAGTCACTCAGACTGCCACTAAAGGTGCATCCTATAGTTAATGCAGCACTGGCATTAACACTCTGCATGGTGACTTAAAAGGACTGGGCCCACTGCATCCAGTGCACCTAATACAGATAAATTGGCCTTGGTGACTGAATTAGTCCTTTCAATGTGTTAGAGAATTTGTCTTCTGCTTTATTTTGAGAAATACAAATTGATGTTCTGAATAGAGATGTCGCGAACCGTCCACGAACTCCGGTCAGCTGACACGTCCCGGACAATCTCCAGCAGACCCTCCTACTTCCTGGACAGCATCCATGTTTCAACATGGATGCTGTCCAGGAAGAGGGAGGGTCTGCTGGAGATTGGCCGGGACGTGTCAGCTGACCGGAGTTTGCCGCGAACAGACAGCGGCGACCCGTTCGCGAGAAGTTTGCGACATCTCTAGTTCTGAATAGTAAACGTTTGTTCGTACAGCCTTGCGGACATTGGTAAGTTTGTTCGGTAATGTAAAAGATTTCCTTATGTCAGATCTTTGCAGTTAAGTACGTCATTGAATTTGCCTGCTCACTTGTCACCCATGTGCATGGGTCTCCTTGGTCTTCTTAAAATCTGTCTGGCATGCAGTCTGGGCAGATACTAATATCCACTAAAAACATTCCTCCTCTTCTGCTTTTTATCTACCTCACAGTTGCTGCGATTCACTTTATACTTCATGCTCATATTAACCTATGCAGCATAATGCTTTGAGTGAGTATCCAGGTTTGGTCACCATATTGGATTCCTAGGGTTTGTTCTACCTTGGACAGCAAAAGTCCTCCTAGATTTAGTTGGCATCCAAACAGAAAAATTAAGTATTTGCAAATATAATTTCAGTGTTGGATTGTAAAAGATGTTTGTCTATATTTTATTGTATAGGTGATAACTCTGGTTATGCCTTCTAATGCAGATACTATTTAGTAGATTGTTGCCTATTATGGATTAGTAGGTTTGCTTTAACCACTTAAGGACACATGACATGTGACATGTCATGATTCCCTCTTATTCCAGAAGTTTGGTCCTTAAGGGGTTAATGGTGCTGCTCAGGCTTTCATTCATTTTGAAAATTCTTCTAGGCTAATCCGCTTTTGTAACATTGGATCATGCAGGGTGGACATAATCTATACGGTTTCAACTTTTGAACATTTCCTAACGTGAGTTGTATGCGAAGACCATAATTAATGGTAATTTGCAAAGGAATCCTGGAGCCTGTGGGAAGAAAATAAGCTTATCACTCTGTCCTGTTGCCTCTTTCCAACTACTAGCATCCTTGTGTCTCTCTGGACATGCTACAATGCCTTCATCACTTCTGTGTTCCCACGTGCTTGAATACAAGAGACTTGGGAACAACCAGTGGTTTCAGCATCTAGATTTTAAAGTAATTGTCTGCATGTGTACAGTGATTACAATTGTATCTTGTGACAGAGCTCCTGTACATATACTGGGTATCCCCTTCAGGTCAACTTCCTTGCTACTACCACGGGACTCTGGAACACTTCAGACCCAGCCTCCAAAGCTTGACTGGAGTCTCTTAGGATCTCTTCCACCAGACCAGGCTTCCATGATTATAGTTCAGGAGACCTCTCCTGTAAAGCAGTAACTTTGGCTTTTCCCTCCACGCATCAGTTTGAATGCAGGGATTAGCATGACCTCTATTACACAGCTACTTATACACATCAATGTTGACTCCCTGCATGGGGTCTTCCGTACAAACCTTGCGTACAATGCTATTGTTCCTCCCCGGCACCGCTGTCTGGGCACTTATTTAAATTATCCCTATCTTACACAATTTGCTTCATGCTGTGCTCTTAAAGTTTTAGAGGCACAGAACACACTTTGTCTCGACTAGACGCCCACACAATATATCCCTGGTGAGCTAGTCACCCAGCGCCCTGCTTGGGGAATCAATGGTCCTTGTTTTAGAGAAGGGGTTTCTGGACCTCTGGAAAAGGGAATGCTCTTAAATCTCCAGTATCCTCCTTGCCTCCCCTCCGTTTGGAGTTTGTGGGGACCAATACCTTCCTAAAGGTTTACTTGTCCTCTGCACAGTCTCTATCCGAGGAACAGTTCAAGATTTGTTTCAGGGTATCTCCTGGTCAGGCGCTCTGTGTAGAGTCCTCAAGTCTGGCTAGGAAACACAGGCATCCAGGGTCCTATCCCATAGACCCTTTTAGGAGCTCTTGGGACCAACAGTCTGTGGGCAGGCGGCTTGCCTTCATGCCTCTCCAAAAGTCTGTGTTGCAAACCTCAGCTTATAACAATGTGCGTGTTTTTGCGTGCTAATATGCCTTTTCTAGTTATAAGAATTAATGTCCCTTTTTTATCAAGATTGATAATGCATTGACTTTGAGTTCAGCTTATTTTTTTTAAAACTCAACATCAAAGTAGATTTAATTTGACTAGTGGCATTGTCATTTTGGGAGTTTTCATGGAGATAAGCGTTTTATGAAAACTTGCCAGTGCAATTCCTATTTAATCAGCAGCCAAGACACGATGCCACAATATGTTAGAAATATTTATGCTTCTATCGCTGCATCTTGCCGTTTTGGTAGAAATAGGGTTTTGTTCTGGCATTGTGCAACAATGCCTTTCATATCTTTTATCATGCTAAAGGTTCTCTAGCAGTACATCACTCAAGATCATCAATGTTTCGTGTGTAGTCATGTGATGCAGCTCCTGGCAGTTCGGTCTCATCCTCTGCAAATTATGCTGTAAAGAATCAAATCTGGTTTGCCACAGGATGTTTCTTTGGCTGCTTGAGCTACTTATGCCAGTAAAAGCCAGACCTACTATTACTGACACTTTGTCACATGTAGAAAAGGTTTCCACAATATTGTACTTTGGGGAAACTGTATAAACTTGTTTGATTTTATTTACTTTGTCCTCCGGTTTAATCTGGTATTGCACAACATTTTCATATTGTGTACCACATGTTCCGCAGGCAGCAACAAAGAAGCAAAAATACGAAAAGATCAGTGAAAAGAAGATGTCTACTCCTGTTGAGGTGTTGTGTAAGGTAGGTAAAAATCCACTCTAATTTATGGCCGAGAATCAAGGAGTTTCTTCAAATGGTACACCTTTATATACCCAAACTGGGTAAAGAGTAAGCTTCGTAATTTTTTGAAAAACACTCAAATCCCCAACATTCTTTTGTTTTCTATGTGTACGTGTATGCAACTTTTACATTTATTTTCTTTATTTATAAAGCGACAAATTCCTTAGTGCTGTACAATGGGTGGACTAACAGACATGTAGTTGTAAACAGATGAGTTGGATACACAGGATCAGAGGGATTGAGGGCCCTGTTCAATGAGATTTCATGCTGGAGGGAGTGGGGTATAGTGACATAACAGGTAAGGGTAGAAAAGTAGGTTGCGAGGATAGTGTTTATTGAGGGCTTAGTGTTTTATTTTGATGACCATTGCAGGAGAGGAATCTGGGTGCGGAAAAGGAAATCTTTTCAGTTTAATTGATATGCTTTCCTGAAGTAAGTTTTCAAAGGTTTTTTTTTTTTTTTTTTTTTGGAGGGGAGATTGGGTGAAAAAGCTCAACAGTGGAAGGGTGGAAGAGTGTAGGGACTTAGATAGGACATATTTGTGTATTAATGTGGATAAGTAGATTGGAGCAGCATTGTGTAGAGACTTGTAAGCAAGTATCAGGATCTTAAATTGAGTCCTATATCTTATGGGAAGCAAATGTAGGGACTGACAAAAGGGGACAGGTGTGGGCGGAGAGGAAGTTGAGCCTTTCCGCCGCTTTTATTAGATTGTAACGGGGCAAGTTGGGAACGCATAAGACCACTGAAAAGCGGATTACAGTAGTCAAGGCGAGAGGACCGCGGCATGGACAAGCACCTTTGCCATATCAGTCGTTGACTAGGGTCGGATGCATACAATATTTTTGAGATGGAAGAGGCAGGATTTGGTGATTGATTGGACATGAGGGGTGAAGGATTTATTTTTTGTTTTTTGCCTTACTGCTGAGTATATTGTCTGTGGGAGTTTCTTGTTTGTGTTTTTTTTTTTCCCCACTCACTAACTCTGACGATTTACAGCACCGTAGCTGTGGTCTAATAGTCTACAAATACATATCCTGACCCAGTTAAAGGAAGACGGGTTGACATAACTCTTCATCTCTGTAATGTTCCATTCTAATATCAATAGCCATTATCTTGTACAATAAGTTCAGTATAGTGCAGAATCCACATAGCTTTGTATAACATGAAGAGCTGCCTTAATGATATTGATACTTAAAAATTACTTGCCTTGTCACACTTTTTTATTTTCTTTTATAGGGGTTTCCTGCAGAATTTGCAATGTATCTAAATTACTGCCGTGGTTTACGCTTCGAAGAGGCGCCAGACTACATGTATCTGCGACAACTCTTTCGAATTCTCTTCAGGTTGGTATACACCTAATAATGGGGTTATTTGTATTGTATCACTTTGAGACTTAATCATTAAATGCCTCCTTAGAAGAGGTGACGCTTTGACGGCCTGTGCTACATGTAATCTCCCTAAGCTATATACGGTAAACATTCATGTAATGTTAACAAAAAGCTTTACATCTACCATATTACAGCTTCTTCTAATCATATGGTGTGGTTAAGATGCATGATTAAGCTATGTGGAAAACTGATTAATGGTTAAGCACTAATGAAGTTTGTTGGAAAGGATGCATGAGTAGCAAAATAACCAAGCAAAGTCTCTCTTCTCGGCTATGTTAAAATTAATGATGTCAAGAAAGGGAGTTTTGTCTCAACAGTGTGGGGAGATATGGAAAATGCAAAGCAGATAGTGATCCAGTAGTGCAGTATGTTCTGGTAAATGGATTAGCAAAAATGAGAGCTAATGCACTTGCATTCTCTGTAGCTAAAATTCTCAGTAGCTCTCGTTAATTTGCTTCAGCTGTACAATCCCAGTTTGTGGATGTAATTTTTATGGCATAAATCCTCAACCAGGTATGGAATGAGAACACAAACCGAGAAATAGATGTTCTGTGGTGTAGGTGTCCATAAATGACTGATATAATCATTGATATAAGCCTTTTCTGGTTCTGCTGTAAAGGCATGATGTGACAAGCCCCATTCTAGGATGTAGTTCTTACAGATGTATATGTAACAAAAGCATACATACACATATAATGCACCCGTTAAAATAAAATTCTCCCTTTAAGTGTTTTTGTATATTTGAAATGTTGAGATCACTAGATAGTTTTGGGGGTTTTTTTCCTTTTTTTTTTTTTTTTATTCTATATATTTGCAATAGTCGAGTCCTTCTTGCATATTTTTAGAACAATGAGGTAGTTTAGGCTTAGCTTCTATCTCAAAGTTTGATTCCAGTAGGAAGTGACAAAATACAATTGAGAGCCCAGATAAGGCTAAAAAACATTTTATGAACGGATTAAAACAAAGTACACTAGCACATTTCACCTCTGGGTCAGGCATTTTTTGGAGATGTGTTTAAGGTTTTCAGGTTGTGGCTTGTTTTTTGTTCTGTTGTGACTAGCTTATTTTGAAATGACCAATTTTTTTTTATATACAAATTGCACTTCTCTTCTAGAACCTTGAACCACCAGTATGACTACACATTTGACTGGACGATGTTAAAGCAGAAGGCAGCCCAGCAAGCGGCCTCCTCCAGTGGGCAGGGCCAGCAAGCCCAAACCCCCACAGGCAAGCAAACTGACAAATCCAAGAGTAACATGAAAGGTTAGTAGCCAACAACCAAGTGACGTTGCAGTAAAGACTTTTAGGGGGCAAAAAGCTTAACCAATTTGGATATTAATTAAGAGTGTTAGATCAAGGAGGTGGCTAGAAATAATTGGCATAAAAAAAGTTTAAAAAAAAAATAAAATAAAAATTGGTATACAAAGACGTCCTTGGAAAATTTGACTACTAACTTTAAATTCAAAATTCCTTACATGTATATTTACAATACATCTTTTGGGATATTGGGTCATCTTAACTGCATCTTTCTCATGCATTAACTCCCTCTTTCAAATCCGGGATACCAGTTTCGGTGGTGTGAATGTGGAATCTTTTCTCAGTTCCCATTCCTGGACCTAACACTTGAAGGTTTATTTGGGACTCGGCCTTCCTCTCTTAACTAAGCTCTTACTGTTTCTGTTTGCTGTGTGATCTGCAACTTATTGCAGGTCATTTTAGCATCAGAATGCTATGGTTGTGGTGGTGTGGCATTGATTTTCTTTCTACTCTGCAATATCTGGAAAATTGTGACTATTGTAACAGTCCACCTATAGAATACATTTTTAAAAGACAAATATGGTACCTGTGAGTGTAAATTGAAGAGCTCATTGTAATGGCTTTTTGTTCGTTCAGCCATCTATGAATTGATGACATGGTATAAAATTTTTAGCAACTTAATAGTCACAATTTCCCATTTTAAATCTTTTTGATAACTTTTTTCTGATCAGTAATGAGTTTTTCATTTTACTGAATATGAGCTTTCTAGACTTTACAACTGTTTTGTTGTGTGTACATTGTGTGCCTCTTTTCCTCCCCTCCCCCTTTTCATTTTTTCATTTTTTTTTGTCTCCTGTGTTTTTAAACTCCCAATGGAAGACAGTTATCCACTCCCATTCTCAAAACGCCTTTCAGTATTGTCTTCTGTTCATTTTTGTAGCAAGTTGAGGATCCTAGCTAGCCTGGAACACCTTGTTAAACATGTCGCTGTCCACAGGTCTGCCACTCTCCAGATGAACCTCAGTGGATGTATCTTCGCAATGGGAGGATGTGGAAATCTGACCAGGGCTGGGGATAATGCAAACTGTGGTCAGCAGGTGAAGGGGCAAATGCCAATCACCAAGGATTCAGAGGGGGCATTAGTCTAAAATTCAACACTTTCATTAATTGCCATCCTTAAAAGCAGAATATATGGGACTCTCTAAACTGCTGGCCTTATAAATAATCCACTTAACATACAATGTACATAACTGTGAGACAAGACTGCTCTAGTTTACAAATATATAGAGCACTTTTTTTGCACAATCTGTCAATTAGTAAGTGTTGGAGATCTATGAATGCAAGTTTTATTGGCATGCTTGTCACTTTGTAGTTCTTCACTTTAGAATAGCTGTCCAACTAGCCAATTGTGACCGTACTGTTCATAGATATTGGTCTCAAATCATGTAATTTATTGCCAAGGAAATTTCCGTGAACAGGTCTACAATGACAGGTGTTTAATGCCTATTATCTGAAGCCAGGCTCTGAAGGAACACTCTGCATCAACCTGTCTCAACAAAAAGCCTAGTTTTGGCAGGGTCTATTCCTTGATCTTTTGCCTGAAAAAAATAGTGATGATAGGACTCCTGAATAGGGTATAGTTTTCTGGTACTTGTTAAAGTGGCTCTGTCACCTAAAATGTACCATTCTCATATTGTTTGGTATTCTTTCAGTAGCTGTTCTATTCTTTTTCTGATCTATTTCTCTTTAAAAATATAAAACAAAAGGTAGACTTTACTTTTCGCTTTTGTTTTAATTTCCTACAAGTTACAATCCTGACAACGGGTGGAGCTTGCCTTGTCTCTTGATCCACCCGTTGTCAAGATTGTCATTGTAAGAAAAATGCATATAAGACCAAAGTAAGGGCAACTTTGTCTTGTTTAAAAGAGAAATAGACCAGAAATTTAAACAGATTCTAAAAGCAGAAGAAGAAACAAGTTTGTTTTTACTTAGAGCCGTTTTAAAAGTGGCTCTGTCAACTCAAATGCTTGCCTTGACTGCATTGGCTTTTAACTAAAATTCCTACACTCCAGATTTTGTAAGACAAACTAGGAACGACTTTTTTTGTTCATATTTTTTTTTTCTTTTTTCTACACTTGACAAAGAGGCGAAGCTACCTCTCATGCTTTGTCAAGCACTCTGTCATAATGACAACTGTGATAGAAATAAAGCATTGACTAATGCTTCCCGATGGAAGCTCTGTACTTCTGCTTGAACAGTCATTCAGTCAGCATGAACCAGGAAGATCACCTTGCCTGCCAAGTAGTGTTCCCAAATTGGTCCAAGTCAGTGTGTAAGTGCCAAGTTGAGTTCCTCTTGAAATCGTCAAATTTGTGAGTTGGACATGGGAGACATGTTAACCACCTAAAGAACTTCCGTAAACTGACATGCTTTAGAGTTTTGGAGTGTCTCTATAAAGCAAGTTGAAGCACTCTAGGAGGCATTGTTCTGGTTTTCTCTTCTTGACTGACCATATGGAATGTGTATTGCTGTAACTTGGCTACCATGTTGGCACTTGCGTGCAGAAGCTTAGCGATTGCATTCCTTGCATTGATACAATGCTAATGAATATAGTTTTCCTCACATTTGATTGCTTCCATGCAATTGGTTACTACTGACTCCACTTCCTTTATTTCTTCTGTACACCATGTATCTATGCTTTATTTAAAAAAAATAAAAAAAAAATTCCAAATGACAATGTAAAGCAGTGGCAGTGTTTGGGATAGGGAATGATTATCTTCCACCCCTATACATTTGTTTTGCTAAACTTGGTGTTTACCTTTAAAGCTCAAATGACCCACCATGGCTTTTGAAGTTTGGTAAATGGACATGGAGATCCCTGCCATAAATTGAGGCCCCTTTCCATGTGGTATTCTGCTGAACCAACATTGCTGCTGTTCCAGATTTGTGCCCATACACACAAATGTACTTCCATTCATACCTGGACACACGGTACACTGTTTTCCTTTTATAAAATGGGTGACCAGATCCAATTCATGTATTCTAAAGATGCATTAATCACACGCTTTTTAGATCCCTGTCTAGTGAGATGTACATGGTTTTTGTGCTCTGATAATCCCAATTGACTATCCATATACATTGGAGATATTAAACTAGTATGTTGCACTGCTATACATGGCATTGAATTTAGTTTTAAATATACATGTGGAGGAAAAGTAAAAATTAGCAGTTTGACTACAATTTGTAGATTGACACCAGTTCAGATTGTGTTCAAATCCATAAGTGGAGTTTACCAAACTTCATTTTTTTTTTAATTTTATTTTTTTATTTGCATTGGCATTCTTAACCAAACAGTCACAAATCAACCCTTTTTTTTTTTTTGCTTAATCAGTCTTTCTATTTTTGAAAAACCATGGTTTAGATTCTTTTACTGAATAGTTTGTTTTGATGTTTGACTGTCTATTTTGTCTTGGATCTGCATGCTTTTGGAATGCCAATTTGAAAGCTCGAGTCCGTGGCACATGCTCAGTTTATCATTCCGTTCTTATAGTGTGGTTTCTCGTTTTGGAAAATCTTGTATCTGCCTTTTTTATGGCTGTGAGCGTGCGATTTGTTACTAGACCATAGTAAAATGTAAGATAGGCAGTGTGCTGTATAGTTAAACTACATGCTTGGTAAGCATTGTATGTAAACTCCCTGCACACACAAATTGTGAATGTTTGGTTTTTATTAGAAAAACAGGGAATCGTGTTTAGTTATTTTCCTAGTGCTAAAGGCCCTTTGTACTTGTCAAAATTTTGTTTTGTTTTTTTGTTTATCAATAGAATAGCTATGATTCTCATGTTACTTTCCAAAGACGAGTAAGGCAAGTAGCAGGAAGTAATATCCATTCAGTAACTTCCTATCTGTCAAGATTAATAAGGAAGATTGGTTCTGGATGTCTTTTTGTTCATTGGTGTACTTTTTCAACAGTCCAGTAACTTTGAGAAAAGATTTCGCATTAACTTGGGAGGACATATTTTGTAAGGTATCACCTCATCAATTCCATGTTACTACCCCCTTCCTTTAACACCATTTTGTTTTTTTTCTCTTTCTTTTTCATGTCAACATGTCACTCTCAATTCTGAAACATGCCTCCTTTATCTTTATTTTTTCAACAGGATTTTGAAAACTCGAGGAGCAGACATTGAACATTCTGGCACATGCTGGACCAGCCACTCCCCTAAAACATAGATTGTTAGTTCATATGTCCACTTGCCAGTTGTCGTGGGAGACAATTTACAACGGAACTTAATTTCAGTCTAAACTGGCTACCGGTGGCGTCCACCATGCTGACTTGTAGCCGCTGTTAATAATTGTGAATATCACGAAGATTAGTGAAACATGGTGTCCAGTTTTCTATTGCATTTTTTTCTTCTCTCCCTCCCCCAAAGGAGGGACTGCTGGTTATGGTTTATTTGACAGAGTGGTGGAAGAAATTGTGCGTATGCCAATTTTTTTATTTTTTATTCCCCCCATCCTATGGTTAACCTCTTGAACCTTTCACTGCTTAAAACCTCTCCTACTTCAGAAGAAAAGGCATGAACTGGTTTCCTACAGACTGTTGTGATGACCCTTGTATAAAAGATACTACTCCATGTTTCATTTTTTTTTTTCTTATCACTCTTTTTATTGTACACTTAAAACATTCTTAACCTTTTCATTGTAGGAGTCATCTAGAGTATGTGCTGCAGTCACTCCTTCAATGAATGAGTTAATAGATATTAATGTCATACTTTTTTCTTTTTTTTTTTGCCACCTTTTATGGTTATTATGGTGACCACATGGTTCCAGATTATTAGGACTCCTGGCATTGCAGCTCATGTTTTCTGTGTAGACTTGTTTCTGATGTTTTGTGTAATATATCCATAATAGTCTATGCCTAATCTTTATAATCTGGAAACCATTCAACCCCCTTATATAACCAAAGATTGCAGTTTTAGGTGAACCATAAAACTGATTCCTATGTTTTTAAAAAAGAGACCACCTCAACAGTGCAAACATAAGACACAATTTAGCAGATGCTAGTCTCTAGTAAACTGAACTTTTTTTTTTGTTGTAAAAAAAAAAACTGCAGCATAATTATCACAAATCTAGTTAACATCTATCAAATAAAGCTTGTCTAAATGGCTTAGGATATGTAATCACTGTAAACATGATCTGGGATATCTTTTTGTTTTTATTTTGAACAATTTTTGTTTGTTTACAAGTTCATTAAAAATCTAAAACTGATTCACATTTGTAAATTTCAATTTTTCTTAGCCCTCATCACAGATAATTTTAAAGAAGTTAACAGTTGTTTTATTGTTTAAAAATGGTGGCAGGTTATTTTCAGTTTATTCTGCTTTTTTTTTTTTTTTTCTCCTACCCACCCAAATGTTTGTCCTTGAAAGCTGTCAAGTTATAATGGAAATTATATAGCTTTTTAAAATTTCATTTTAGAGGAGCTATAATGGAAATTATAATATAGCTTTTTAAAATTTCATTTTAATCATCTGCTTCCTGGTGTAGTGAAACAATCTTGGAATAGTTTGAAACTTACCTGGGTCAGCCAGCCCTTTTAATTTCATCCAAATTAAATGTTCAACGCATTGGCTTACACTCTCAGTAAATTCTGTCCATACACGAGTAGAATTAATGTCGCAAATGTGGAAGACTAACAAATTTGCATTATTTACTCTAGAATTAGAATAGAGGCACAGCACACACTTTTTTTTTTTTTTCCTTCCCCGCACGACTCAAGTAGCCAGCACTACAATTTATTGAGTTACAGCAGAGTGTGGGGGCAGCATTTTGTCCCACATGGGGTTCTTTATGAAGCAAATGAAATTACTATGTTTATATATTAAAATATATATATATATATATATATAACACCTGTGTAAGTGCCTATACTGCTGTCAAAGCATACTAAAAGGACACTCCGCTGCCCAAATACAAAACCATTGTTTAGTAGATATACACCCAATGAAAATGTGCATGCGTATTGGGTTATAGCTAAAACCAACTTGTAAAAGCTGTATTTCTCTTGTCTGGGGAGGTGGGAATTCACAGCTTGCCATAATCGCTTGCATCCTTGGACCATTTGTGATGAGAATGTCATATGTAACCCCACAACCTTCTGTTTTATAGTCAAATTGGTTTAGAACAATGTATCAAGACCTCTCTCAGCTGAACAAACCCACAGTCTTCCAGCACATTCAAATCTCTATTTCAGTTTATTAAACCATGCAGCACTCAGGACTAAAGGGACACTATAGTCACCAGAATTTAGCTTATTGTAGTTGTTCTGGTGAGTATAGTCAGTCCCTGCAGGGTTTATGCAGTAAACTTTTTTGTTTGTTTGTTTGTTCTCCCCCCTCCCTACTGGCTGCTAGAGGTGCTTTCTGGGGAAGACATCCTCTGCATGGAGACACTGAACTTTCCTCAGAGGTGTATTTAATAAAGGATACTGATTGGCCAGGGTCATATTTGGCCCACCTCCTTGGCAACCCAATGCTTTCCTATGAAAGAGCATCAGGATTGGCTCAGATAATAACCTGTCTGCCAAGAAGGCAGATCAGGAGCAAAGCAAGCACCGGCAGGCAGGAATAAAGGTAGAATTTTACTATGTTTACGGGGGCCACTAGAGCCAGATAGTGATTTTAACACTTTAGGGTCAGGAATACATATTTGTGTTACTGACATTATATAGTGTTCCTTTAATTGTCCTGATATGGTTCTGTAGTATGTATATTCAAAATATGCATATATTTTAATGTTAGTCAGCCTTGTCGTCTTGACTGTTGCATACAGATTTATTTTTGTGTCACTTTAGGCAGTGTGTTAAACCTAGCCACATCTGACTACTACAATTTTACTATCCTGTTCTATTTCAGGCATAAAATAATTAGTTAGTTTCTAACAATGCATGCCAGGCTCAGTGACACCTTTGCAGGAATAAAGAATTTAATGCTAGTTTGAGCTAACTTTCCTGGTTGGTTTACTGTGGCTTTGGGATCAATGGTCTCAATCCCTTATGTAATGGGGGGGAGAGAAGCATGGCTCTGTTTGTGTAAACAGATATGTTGGAATATGGGGAGATAAATACTGCAGCTCTCCAAGAACTTGGTCACATACTTTCAAGTATAAAATCTGTCAAACAGTCTAACCTCCTGAGGAATTCATATCTGAAGAACACATCCCTTATTTAAAGTAGTGCCGGCTGTCCTCCTTGCACACTTGCATTCTTTACTTATGGCAAACTTATGAGAACAACCTAGATTTTGGATTTTGGCTAATCAATCCCACCGAAATGTCTGGAAGCCCATATCCGATTCGTAGGTAGATGAGCAGGCCCTCCTGCACCATCTGGACACTAGCTTTGCAATTCTAGCACATGCCCACTTTACAAATACCAACTTATTAAGGGCTTCTGTTATGAGGTGCATTCTGACTTTAGAAGCCTTGGGATTTCTGTTCCACTAATATAAACATAAAAATGAGAACAGAAGATGAGCATATAAACTGTAAGGAGGCTTTACAAAACATCTAAGGTAATAAGCCCTGGTCCAAACTTTTCTTTCTTCAATTTGACCATTTTTATGGTGTCAATAGAGTGGCAGTTGGGTATAGAAAGGAAGTGGGTATTTGTATTCAAACACTAGGTATACATCATGTAGGTACAAGTCATAACTTGTGGCAAATTATAAATGTATGGGTTCTGCACAAAGCTTTGAAGAAGACTAGGTAGCCTCGGGGATAGATTTGCCTAATATGAGATGGCGTTACATGTGCAAATTTAAGACCGCATTCAGTCATGACATGTCTGTTACAGTACCATGTCTGGTCTAGGAGGTTCTGCAACTCCAAGTTGCCACAAGAAGCCCAGATAAATAAGCTAAATGTGCTCTTGGTGGGGGTAGCTTAACCCAGGGATAAGCTGACACGTGGCAATGTGAGATGTCTAAACCCCTTGGTAGTCCGTCACTACTGTCTCACTAATACCTCTATGTGCTCTGTTTGTTGGTTAGCATGATGATTTTAGTTTACAATTTCTAACACTTCTTTTTTTGACTGCTAAACTTTTATGGCACATTTTTGTTGTAAACGATGGAAAGGTAAATGGGAAATAGAAAAGGGTGTTATATATATATATATATATATATATTTTCTCTCTCTTTCCATGTCCCTCCAAACCTTAAATTCAATTATGGCACGCACACTATAATGAACATTTTATAATAAGCAAGGACTACAAAGTAGATTATTCCTCAAAAGCACCAAGACATTCACATATTACCACTTCGTGTGTTATTTTTATTTAAAATTTGTACCAAAAATCAGGTTTCTCTGGATGGCTATAGCTTTTCAAGTGATCAGCCATGTTGCCTTAGCATTTCAATACAGTATGAAGATTCATAGCACCTAAAAGGCAGCACATTAAAACAAATAGTATGGAGAGAGCTCATCCCTGATAATTCATTGCCAAAGAGATGAATGGCAAAGCAGGTGATACCGCACAGAGTGTTTCCTTTAGAAATTCAGAATCTCATTTGGAAATAAACCAGTTTTATGTTTGCTGTGTGAAAAAGTTAACTCCTGAATGACCAGTGGAGTGAGACTGCAGGGACAATTATACACCCAAACCTTAAATGAAAGAAAGCTGTCTTTTAAGGCCAATGTAGCCAAACTGTAAGTATAACATGGAGATTTTCTTGTAGTTCGGCTATTTTGACAGGGTTAAAGGGTTATTCCAGGCAGCATGAACATTTCAGCGATTTGAAGTGGTCATAGTGCCTGAAGTCTGTGGGCACAGCATTTCAATGTGAAATGCTGCACACAGGGAGATTAACCACTCTGCTGTAACTTCAACTCTGTCAGTGTCACTGGGATGTCATAACCCAATCTGGAACTAGCGTTCTGGTTGGCTAATGTCAATTCCAGCTGAGGTCAGCTGATCCAAATAAGTGTCCACATATTTTTAGAATGTAAATTTCTATAACACTGCTGAGTTTATCCTGTGAATAGTGGTTTAGGGAAACTGCAAGAATTCCAGGCAGGATTATTATAAGTGGGAATTCAAATGTAAGACCAAAGTAGCCAAACTGGAAACTGCTTTCTTGGGAAAATGTTTAAGGTTTGGCTATTTTGGCCTTACATTTAAAAATCCACTTTCAATTCATGGCAATTCTATAACCCTGTAAGAGTTCAATTTAAGTTTTGAGCCATTGCATTTACAGTGGTATTTCTGTAGCAGAAAAGAGAACATTTGTTAGGAGGGAGGGAAAGAAGTGGACATATGAAATAGTATTACAAAAAAGTAACCTAACCTACTCATTGAGCATTACATGTGTGGGTGTGTACCTTTTTTAAAGGGATACTATAGTGCCATGAATACAGATACAAAGCCCCCCTCCCTCTTTACATGTTGGTGAGGAGGGAAGCAGGGGGAGGTTAATGGTTGTATATATTTTTGTTTTTCTAATGTTTTTAACCCCCTTAAGGACAGCGGGCGTACTATGCTGTCCTTGGGGACCCGTTCCTAAACGCCGGCAGGCAGCATAGTACGTCCACACAGTCCTTCCCACTTACCTGATCGCTGGCGATCCCAATGAGGGGCTTGCCTGGCATCCCAGGGCCATGTGATGACATCAATGCCTGCAAGGGACCTTCCTGGAATGACAGGAGGTCCTTCCCGGTGCCTCTAAGAAAGTTTCATAAATGTTTTAAACAGTTTAAAAAATGTTTTAAAGTGCATTATATGTGCTTGTTATATATTTATTTTCTGAATTTAGTTTTTCATTGGATGCTAGAAAGGGAGAGCATCAAAGTGTGTAGCAGATATATTATTACTGTATTAATTGAAAGCATATCACAAGATACAGACCTTACACCTTGTGGCCATTTTTTTCGCTAAGGGTTTACCACAGTGCTCCAATTTTTTTATACACCTACATTGTCTCAAAGTGTATTTTAATATTAAAATACACTTAGCATTATATTATACATATATGGTGTTGTTTTATATAAATTAGCATAAAAATTGTTTTGGGTTTTTTTTTGCATTTTTCACACACAAGCAAATATGAATGCTAACTTTGGCCAGTGTTTGACTAAGTGGCTACTAAAGACTGGACATACTCCATTTGTAATAACTTGGTTTGTCTACTTTTGCAAACTGTGTGCTATCATGGGGGCTACCATTTGGTCTCAAAGGCAACATAACCAGCCTGGCAAATGTCAATGTGTGTAAACTGAAAAATGTAACCTGCTATATTTGACCCAGTAACTTTCCTAAACACCATGAAATCTATACATGGGGGGAGGGGGTAATGTTTTACTCGAGACATCGCTAAATACAAATATGTGTACATTATTGCAGTAACCGCTAATGGTATTATGACATGTACAGTTAAAATGCCATGCAGAACTAAAGTCTTAATTTCTCCTTTTTTATTTTATTAATTTTAAATTGTTTAACATATAAATATTTGTGACATGAAAGCCCTGTTTCTCCTGAACAAAATTTTATATATGTGCATTTAATATGAAAAAGGTGAATTCTGGTTGAACAGACATATAGCGCAAATTCAAATTTTGGTTTATGTTTGTTTTGATCGCTACTTGTACAACTGCCTCAGTCCTTAAGGGGTTACTTATGCAGACAATTCAGGAAAGGTAGTTTTTTGGGGGGTTTGTTTTTCTCAGTTGAACTGTCACTGAAACACTGGCAGACCTATGTAGCAAATAAATGGTGAGTGTGAGTGTTGGGCATGCTGCTCAGGTGATATAATGCCCAAGCGGATCCCCCTGCACCTTGACCTCAAATAGGGCAGACTCGATTTTTATCCAGTTATTGCCAATCAAAATCTAACTTTTCTTTAAACATGTTCAGTGTCTTTATAATGAAGACTCAAGAAGCAATTGAACAGAAGTGTAAATGATGGTTAGAAAAGTGTAAGCTCACAAAATGAGGCCAAAAAAAAAAGATGAAAATGGACTGGCACACCTCTTTAGCTTGATAAAATCTTCTGTTTAATGGGAAAAAGTTACTTACCTGTGATGGATTTCTAACAAATTTGGTGTGCTAATACACTAAAGTGGGCTGGATAGTTTCTCATTTTGATTATTGTTGGGGCCTGCATGAACAAGGTCATTGTGTATGTTTAGGGTAGAACAATTGTCTGTGTGTTGGCTGCATACCACTATAATCACAAAATTTGAATTTTAATCTGGAAACCTCAAGGAGATCCTGGCTAACTGAAGCACGATGTCTTTGTTGTGCACTAAGCCAATGCAATGTTCCCTCATTAACAACTACGTCAATTATGTCTCTTCCTTCATAGATGTGTAGCAAATAAACCCACCTAGAATTTTTCAAACATGATTAATTCAATGTGCCTAAGTTTGTGTTGTGAAGTTGAAATGTCAGTCAACACCCATACACTCTATTATTGTGAAGTCAAAGGACACTATAGTCACCAAAACATTAGCTTTATGAAGTTTTGGTGTATAGATCATGCCCCTGCACTCTAACTGCTCAATCCTCTGTTAAATCATTTTTATGCAGCCTTGTTCACAACTCCCTGCATGTGACTTATCCAACCTTTGTAAACACTTCCTGGTAAAGAGTCGTCTAATGTTTACACATTATTTATTACAAATTGTTTATTTCTTCTCTTTTTTGCTCTGTTAATATCTTCAGCCCCTGCTGAAACCTCTTGTTTGTAATTAAATTTTAATTTACATAGTAAGAGAAACCTTTCAAGCAAGTTAACATCTGATTGAAAATGAAATAATTTCATTTTAATGCATACTGAATGACACAACCAGGGGAGGTGTGGCTAGGACTACGTAAACAACAAAAATGATTTAACTCCTAAATTGTAGAGGATTGAGCAGTGATACTTCAGATGCATGATCTATACACAAAAACTGCTTCTTTAAAGGACCACTCTAGGCACCCAGACCACTTCAGCTTTATGTACCTCTAGGATTAACCCCTTTTTTTTTTTTTTTTTTTTTTTTTTTTTAATTAATAAACCTAGCAGTTTCAGAGAAACTGCTATGTTTATACTGAGGGTTAATCCAGCCTCCAGAGCCTCTAGTGGCTGTCTCATTGACAGCCACTAGAGGCGCTTGCGTGCTTCTCACTGTGAAAATCACAGTAAGAGCACGCAAGCGTCCATAGGAAAGCATTGTAAATGCTTTCCTATGCGACCGGCTGAATGCGCGCTCGGCTCCTGCCACGCATGCGCATTCAGCCGATGACGTCGCGAGCGAGGAGGAGTACAGCTCCCCGCCCGGCGCTGGAGAAAGGTAAGTGTTTAAGCCCTTCCTCTCTCCAGAGCCCGGCGGGAGGGGGTCCCTGAGGGTGGGGGCACCCTCAGGGCACTATAGTGCCAGGAAAACAAGTATGTTTTCCTGGCACTATAGTGGTCCTTTAAGCTAAAACATTTTTTAGTGACTATAGTGTCAGTTTAAATGTAATTAAATGATACATGGACATAGAACATATGTCTCCACAGTTTTCTAAATACTTGAATTAGTCCCTGGCCTTATCTTAAGTCAAGGATAAACATAAAATAGGAACAAAGGCCATGTAATCGCAAGAAAACCCTTATTGCTCACAGAAATGTGTCAAAACACATTTACATGATGAAACAAATTGTCTTCCCCTTTTAAATATAACATACCTCTGAAGATTTACTAGTGGACTCTCTCTGGGAGGCTTTTACATGGTAAATGCATGTTGCTTAGAGAAAATAAAATATTTAAATGTTTCTTTTCTTTTTTACAATGCATTCGTGTTTGTGTAGCCCATTACTAATTACATCACAAACTAGTGAAAAGCATTCAACTCTAGGTTGGAGCCTAGAACTTATTGGATTGGTACTGTAACACTGCAGAATAAGTGTGTTTTTATAGCTGGATGGATTCAGTACAAAAAATGAGAAGCATACACAAAACAATGTGCAGTCTTAAAATCATAACCACTGCAGGCATACTAACTATCCTGCATCCAGGGACATCAGCAAGCACGATGTGAGTGCATCATGAGATTTGCTTGCTCTGTGCAGTGGGCTATAGGACCATGCAAAGAGTGCTTTCTGCATGGTCCTGTGTATCAGGAATGGTCGTGAGGCTGCCCGTCAGCCTGCTGTGCTTCACATCGGTTTGGCATGCATCATGGATGGGTTGGCTTGCCATCATGGGCGCCACGAGGGATGCACCTGTCCTGAATATTTTTTTTTTTTTAAATTTAAATTAATACCTTCCAAAGTTGGGAGTTATGCCATTATAGTGCGCATGATACTAGTAATCTTCACTTTAGTGTAAGCATTGTAAAATTTGCCCATATTTGGACACCAGTCATCTAATCCACAAGGACCTATGGCTTTGGTCAAATTATTTTATTCTGAATCAATGGAAGGTGATCACAGCCTACTAGCATCATAACCACTGTACCACATCTACTGGTTATTGGGTTTAGACTGCCACACTTAGGGCACAACTGACCTCTGAGCTTTAAAATGGGTATCACAACTGCTTTTTGATGTGCCAGGCGTAGCAAAAAAAAAAAAATTATACTACTGTCATTTTCTTTTCAATTAAGGTTCCGATTAACACCGTTCCCATTTTTGATTTTGATGTTTGTTAATAATAATTTTAAAAAATGATCTGAACAAGCTAAATGTGTGACAAAGGGAAATAGGAGCTGTTATGGGACGACATACAGGTGCTACAATAAATTTGCATTTGTTAGATTGCACTAAATTATGAATAATAAATGTAAACGAAAGATGCCTCAACAGAATGTGTGTTTGTCACAAAATGTAAAGCCAGCTTCAGTTTGGCAGCTAATAGTGTCCCAGAATGACCTTGACAACAAATGTGTTACACAGCACAATGACACAAGAGGTAATATGTTCGTTCATGAACAAATGTCTGTTCGTTTGCCATGTAGTCCTCTGAGATCAGTGAGGAATAGAAGGCAAAACAAAGGCACCGGTGCAGTCATGTACACAATGTTTTTACAGTAGTGCCTAATCATATTGCATGTCTCCTGAAAACTTGATTTACAAGGTTTTGTGGGATTTGAAGAAATTTGGAATATTGTAGGTATCTTGCATATTAATACATTTTAAACCCCTTAGTGACCAGACCGTTTTTCATTATTTTCATCATATCGTATAATTTACTATAATTTTTTATAAAATATGATGAAATCTAAATGTGTGTATGTGTGTATATTAATTATACACAAACACTTTTATTTCCTATATATGATTTTATTCTAAGTATATTTTGAGATGTGTATATATCTTAAAGTACACTTATAATGAAATCATATATGCATTATATATGTATAATATGTTATAAAATGCTTTAATGCAATATATATAATCACATATAAAAAAAAGGAGAAGAAACTGCGCTTTAAATAAATTCTTACATACATACACTTGATGTCCCTTAGTCGATATGGATAATATATCCTCAAAAAAAACACAGAGAGGGAAATACAATAGTGCAATATGTTATAATAAAAACCAGAATTACTGTGTAAACTGAGGTATTTCAAACTCACATTTGGTAGAGCTAATCAGGAGCTCTACCTTAACTTGCACGGACGGTACAATCCCCGTCTCAGGATAGAGAGTTCAACTTTTCAATGCTCCAATGGTGTGGTGGCATAAATAAAAATAAAAACAGAAGAGAGAGAACTCCAATAGTGTAGTAGTTCTAATTAAAATGTGGAACAAATAAAATGAAGATGATTGTACTCACATTTATTAGAGCAGACAACTTGCTCTAGTATAAAAGGCTTGCAGTGGTATAATCCCCACTGAAGGATATATGGTACCAGGAAATGATGAGGAAGGTGAATAAAAATAAAGTAGTATATCACTTTAAAATTATATTTAATGGCAACAAGTATTCGTGATATAATAAATAAAAAGGGCTATAAAAGATAACACTTTACGCGTTTCGCCTGTTCGGCTTCATCAGAAGTGTAAAGTAAGTGTCCTCAAGTTCATCATTAATATATAAACTTACATAAGTAGAAATGACTTCCTGGTGTGTTGTGGAACGCACGCGGCAACAAACCGGAAGCGGCGCGGCGTCCACGTGTACATAGATACCCGCCGTGGAACGCACGCGTCGCACCGGAAGTGACGCGACGTAACCACAGGCAGTTTGAATACATGCGTTCCAGCAATGGAACGCATAGTGTCCGCGGCATGTTTCTATGACGACTGGATACTTTCGCGGCGATTACAAATGCCAGAAATCCTCTTGTAAAGAAGGGCCAAATGTCTGAAGATATAAATTGATGCGTTCCAACAGTGGGGCATATAGTAGTCATAAAATGATCTTGTGTTCATGAAAAGTCTCTTAAAACATGATCCAAAGTTGAGTTCAAATGTCCATATCATGTAAATCTCAGCATTTTAAACCGAACACATAAAGAAGAAAAATAGAAAAAAATAGAAAGAAAAATATATATACATCATAAGACAATGTCCGACTTTAAATAAGATGTACATGTGTAAAAAAATATATTAAGAATGAAAAATACAGATTACATATAAATATGACTTTGTGTATAAGATTAAAATTAAAAATATTTTCTTAAAAAATACTCTTAAAAATTACAAAAATTAGAGACAGAATATATATGAAAACATTAGGTGCATAAGAAATTGGAGAAAGCCCAGGGATGGAGTATATTATAATTGGGTATAGACAATATGTTAGGTCAATTGAGAATTATAAAAAGTTTTTTAAAATATTTTTATACAAGAAAAGTGTGTTTATAAAATACTATTTTTATAAAAAATTAAACAGATCAAATTCCACATTTAATCCATCTGGGTGTAGGGTATTCATATTGTAAACCCAGATGGATTAAATGTGGAATTTGATCTGTTAAATTTTTTATAAAAATAGTATTTTATAAACACACTTTTCTTGTATAAAAATATTTTAAAAAACTTTTTATAATTCTCAATTGACCTAACATATTGTCTATACCCAATTATAATATACTCCATCCCTGGGCTTTCTCCAATTTCTTATGCACCTAATGTTTTTATATATATTCTGTCTCTAATTTTTGTAATTTTTAAGAGTATTTTTTAAGAAAATATTTTTAATTTTAATCTTATACACAAAGTCATATTTATATGTAATCTGTATTTTTCATTCTTAATATATTTTTTTACACATGTACATCTTATTTAAAGTCGGACATTGTCTTATGATGTATATATATTTTTCTTTCTATTTTTTTCTATTTTTCTTCTTTATGTGTTCGGTTTAAAATGCTGAGATTTACATGATATGGACATTTGAACTCAACTTTGGATCATGTTTTAAGAGACTTTTCATGAACACAAGATCATTTTATGACTACTATATGCCCCACTGTTGGAACGCATCAATTTATATCTTCAGACATTTGGCCCTTCTTTACAAGAGGATTTCTGGCATTTGTAATCGCCGCGAAAGTATCCAGTCGTCATAGAAACATGCCGCGGACACTATGCGTTCCATTGCTGGAACGCATGTATTCAAACTGCCTGTGGTTACGTCGCGTCACTTCCGGTGCGACGCGTGCGTTCCACGGCGGGTATCTATGTACACGTGGACGCCGCGCCGCTTCCGGTTTGTTGCCGCGTGCGTTCCACAACACACCAGGAAGTCATTTCTACTTATGTAAGTTTATATATTAATGATGAACTTGAGGACACTTACTTTACACTTCTGATGAAGCCGAACAGGCGAAACGCGTAAAGTGTTATCTTTTATAGCCCTTTTTATTTATTATATCACGAATACTTGTTGCCATTAAATATAATTTTAAAGTGATATACTACTTTATTTTTATTCACCTTCCTCATCATTTCCTAGTATCATATATCCTTCAGTGGGGATTATACCACTGCAAGCCTTTTATACTAGAGCAAGTTGTCTGCTCTAATAAATGTGAGTACAATCATCTTCATTTTATTTGTTCCACATTTTAATTAGAACTACTACACTATTGGAGTTCTCTCTCTTCTGTTTTTATTTTTATTTATGCCACCACATTGGAGCATTGAAAAGTTGAACTCTCTATCCTGAGACGGGGATTGTACCATCCGTGCAAGTTAAGGTAGAGCTCCTGATTAGCTCTACCAAATGTGAGTTTGAAATACCTCAGTTTACACAGTAATTCTGGTTTTTATTATAACATATTGCACTATTGTATTTCCCTCTCTGTGTTTTTTTTGAGGATATATTATCCATATCGACTAAGGGACATCAAGTGTATGTATGTAAGAATTTATTTAAAGCGCAGTTTCTTCTCCTTTTTTTATATTGTTACTTTACAAGGCTGGGAATCCTTGCACTAGTTACTGCTGCTTATTTACTCTTTTTGTTTTGAAGTGAGCACCTGACACACCTCTCCTCTTTCTATATATAATCACATAGCCGCAATAGGAGTCTATGGAGCTGTCAGGCAATCCTCCAGGCTGCTAAAAAGTAAAAAAAATGAAATAAAAAATTATTATTTATTTTTATATATATATATATATATATATGGCCCTGGAGGGCTGCGGTGGCTGGAGCTGCTGCAGGGGGACTGCTGGGGTCTCCAGCAGACCCCCCAGTCGTGATCACTGGTCCATTTAAGTCCATGGCTCCTATTTCCCGCGGACATACTAGGTACGTCCAGGGTCCTTGGCGACATTTTTTTTTTTGTCTGACTTACCTAGTACGTCCACGGTTGTTAAGGGGATATGTGTATTTATAATGTCATTCTAAATGTATTTTGATTTAATTATATGTATATTATCAAAATACAGTTAGAACAAATTTAAACCAATTTATAACTTTTTTCAATGTTTTTATTTTATATATAACGTAATTCTAAGTGTATTTTAATATTCACACAAAGATATATATTAAAATACACTTTTAATGGTGTATGTGTGTTTATGTGCATGTAAAAGTACTTAGATCATATAGAATAAATATATAAAAGCGAAGTACTTTTTATGTACTTTATAAACATTTTAATAACTTGTCACACTTTTCTTCAGGCACTAGGGGGCCTGCCTGAGCGCTCAGACAGGCCCCCTGCAGCCACTGCACAAGCCAGCTATTCCGGCCATGTCATCGCAACGACCCCGCGATCACGTGGCTCGGGAGGGCAGTACCGGGTAGTGGGGGTCTGCCTGAGCTCCCAGGCAGACACCAGGATCGCAGTCGCCGTTGGGGGATCGCCAGCGATCAGGTAAGTGGCTATTTACTAAATGATATACCAGGTATGTCCGCAGTAGTTACCGACCGTTTTTTGGCGGACGTACCTGGTCTGTCATTGGTCGGAAAGAGGTTAAAGATGATTAGTGCAGCACATTCAAAAACAAACCAGTACAGATTAAAATTATATCACAACCAATTAAGATAATATACATACTTTTAATTAAGTCATTATTATAAGTAAAGGAACACTATAGTCACCAGAACTACAGCTTAATGTAGTTGATCTGGTAAGTATAGCCTGTACCTGCAGGTTTTCCAATGTAAAGGTGCTTCCTATGTCTGTTGCACAGCTTCTGCATGGAGGTGCTAAATGGTACCCATAGAGATGCACTGAATGCATCTCCGTGAGATGGTGCATTTTGTTGCACATGTGCAATAGCTTCCCAGTGGCCTGATGCTGGACATCAGGGTACTAAATCAGGACACTTGGGAGGCCTGGAATCACTGGCGTACATACCAGGGTCGCAGGGGTCGCGGCTGCGACCGGGCCTGGCCGCCCCTGCGACCCGGTATGTAGCCACAGGGCCAGCCTCTTCCCCTGGGGGGTCCAGGAGGCGGCCACCCCAGGGCCCCCCAAGGCTGGCCCTGCTGTCACCAGGCAGGCTGGTGGCCGGGCAAGCGGGGCGCGCGCGCGAGGGAGCACTCAGTGCTTCCTCTTCAGCTCCCTCGCGCACCGCACTGATACCGGAGCCGGAAGATGACGTCATCTTCCGGCGCCGGCATCCCTACGCGGCGCGCGAGGGAGCTGAAGAGGAAGCACTGAGTGCTCCCTCGCGCGCCCGCCTGCCCGACCGGCCACCCGCCCAGGAGCCCCGCAGCACCACTGGACACCAGGGAATCCCCCCAGCACTCCAAAAGGTAAGGAGGCTGGGGGGATTACATTTTAAAAAAACAAACAAACAAACAAACATGTGTTGAGTGAGTGGGAGTGTTAGTGTGTGTGTTAGAGTGAGTGTTAGTGTCTGTGTCTGCTAGTGTCAGTGAGTGTGTTACTGTGTGTGTCTTACTGAGTGTGTGTGTTAGTGAGTGTGTGTTTGTCAATGAGTGTATGTTTTGTAAGTGAGTGTGTCTGTTAGTAAATGTGTGTGTCTGTTAGCTAGTGTGTATGCGTCTGTAAGTGTGTGTGTGTGTGTCTTCAGCGCTTACCTTTCTCCAGCGCTGGACTCCCTTGGCGCTGGGGATCCCTCAGCCTCTCAGCTCCGAATGCGACCGCGCACGCATTCAAACCGCCCATAGGAAAGCATTACTCCATGCTTTCCTATGGACGTTCAGTGTGCTCCTCTAGCGGCTGTCAGTGAGACAGCCACTAGAGGCTGGATTAACCCTCAGTGAAACAGCAGTTTCTCTGAAACTGCTATGTTTTCAGCTGCAGGGTTAAAACTAGAGGGACCTGATACCCAGACAACTTAATTGAGCTGATGTGATCTGGGTGTCTGTAGTGGTCCTTTAAAGTTTTCCTGGCACTATAGTGCCCTGAGGGTGCCCCCACCCTCAGGGACCCCCTCCCGCCCGGCTCTGGAAAGGGGTAAAACTTACCTTTTTCCAGCGCTGGGCGGAGAGCTCTCCTCCCCGTCGGCTGTATGCGCACACGCGGCAAGAGCTGCGCGCGCATTCAGCCGGTCACATAGGAAAGCATTCATTATGCTTTCCTATGGACGCTGGCGTGCTCTCACTGTGAAAATCACAGTGAGAAGCACGCAAGCGCCTCTAGCGGCTGTCAATGAGACTCTGGGGGGTGTGGTCTGATCGTTTGATCATTTAATCGTCTGACCATCAATGTAGGTAGACGTTCAGGCAGAGAGCTCCCTTCACTGAAGCCACAGAAGCCTCTGAAAACAGCCTGATCTGGACATCGAAGGTTTTTTTTTGTGAAAAATTGAAAATCCAGCATACTATATTGTCTCTCTTATTTTTTTTTTTTTGATCCCTTCAGCATTTAAAATTAATTTGAGCCGGTGAAGTTTTCAATTACCTGTCCGACGAGGAACAGCTGCATGCACAGCCGGTCAGATAGCCAGCTAGACTGTTAGATAGCTGGGTAGCTGGTAATATACCCGCTCTACCTGCTATATTATATCAGTTTATATTCTCTATTTTACTTGTTGTAACAGTGTAACAGGGCAGCGTTTTAGCAGATCTCTAACGAGGAGGAATTTTTTGCTTTGGGTTTTTTTTTTTTTTTAAAGGGGGGGGGAAAAAAGGGTATTATACCCCCTCCTGGGCTTGCTACTGATGAAATCTTTACGTAAGGGATCTAAGCCGAAGTCCAGGAGCAGCACTCTACATTCTATGCACTCCATGTTTCAGCCAGCGAAATCTGCGGATGTAAATGAAGACGCTGCAAAATCCACAAAACGAGCGGCTTCAGGAGCAGCGAATAGCACTGACATGGTGAATAATTGCCAGGATACAACAAACAGCCTGGAAGGCAGGAAAAATGGGGATAGCCACGAGATCCAGTCAGACCATCTAGACCAGACCCATCCAGACCTAGGAGAGGGAGGATCAGGTAAAATGTTACCTATTGATACAGCTAATATTTCTATACCTATTATGCGGACATCAGGATTAGACGGCATACAATGTATATTGGCACAAATGAAAGAGGATAGAATTTTTTTAGCTGGAGAGATTGAGAGAAATGCTAAGGAAATAAGATTAGAGATCCAGGCAATTGGTAATCGGACTGCCGCCCTAGAAGTGAGGGTAGAGGCTGTGGCAAAAGCACATAATGATTTATTAATCCAGAGCTCGGAATGGGGCACAAGGCTTGACGCTTTAGAAGTGGCATTTGAGGATCTTATAAATCGATCCCGACGTAATAATATTAAAATTAGAGGGATACCGGAAACCAGAGATGAGGGTCCGGTACAGAATTTGGTTTTAGAAATCTTTAGACCCTTACTACCAGACATTCCTGAACCCAGATGGGAAATTGACAGGGCGCACCGTTTGTCAGGTGGTCTACGAAGGAATGATGAACGACCCCGAGATATAATCGTGAGATTTCATTACCATAGCACCAAAGACGCTGTAGTCCGCAAATGTAGGGGGATGGAGGTTATTTACAGAGAAAAGGTGCTTCAGATTTTTCAAGATCTTTCACCATCTACTCTTTTAAAGAGAAGGCAATGGAAGCCGATTGCAGATCATCTGAGACTTAATCACATTCCCTTTGCATGGGGCCATCCCTTTAAACTTCTCGCTTTTCATAATGAACAAACCAGAGCTTTATTACCAACGGGGGATCCAAGTAGATTTTTTCAGACAATGGGCCTGGATACACCAGAGGGAGTAATACCATTATTTCAACAAAAGACCCCATTACCAACTTTACCCAGAGAATGGTTTGATGCGAGAGAGAATCAAACTTAAAAGGACATAAATTTTCATTTATTTAGGTTAATCTATTATTTTTTTTTTTATTTTTTTTTTGGGGGGGAAGTGGGATATAATGTGATATACTGATGGTGATTGTGAAGGGGAGAATAAGGAAGTGAAGGGATTAAGTTATTGCATATTGGTATACATGGAATAATATAGTAAGGCATATATGAGAAGAAATAAGCATATTATATAGGTGTATGTATTTTATAAATGATGCGTTTGATAAAAATAAAAAATAAAATCTCAATAGTAATTCAGCAGTAAAAATGTTGTATTATAGAATTACACCAATTCTGCCTGGACAGAAACATCTCCCTTCGTGCAGAATATCTCCCGGGCTCCGACAATCTCGTTGCAGATTGGTTCTCCTGCCACTGGAGGGATTCCAGCAACTGGCAACTGGATCCACACATTTTTCACCACCTACAGGTTCTGAGAGGGCCATTCAACCTGGACCTGTTTGTATCTCGCCTGGACGCATTCTTCTGCTGTCTCCCAGACCCAGCATGCCTGGCAGTAGATGCCTTCCTTCAACCGTGGCCAACATCCGGAGCATATGCCTTTCCCACATTCTCCATGATCCCACGCACGGTACAATACCTCAGAACACAGGGCGTCACCATAACTCTGGTAACCCTGCTGTGGCGAACCCAACCATGGTTCCCCTATCTCCTGGAGATGTCAGTGGACTACCCTCTACTCCTACCCACCTCCTACGACCTCCTCGGGGACCCTTCAGGCAACTTCCATCCACTAGCACTACAAGGCCACCTCAGGTTAGTGGCCTCGACCATTTCAGGGGATCCTGGAACGTCTCTGGCTTTTCGGCTGCTGCTCGAGGACTACTATGGGACTCTTGGGCCCCAGGAACAAGACGCTCTTATCTCTCAGCGTGGCAACGTTGGAATAGCTGGTGTTTGGAGAGGGACGTCGATCCCTTTTCAGCCTCTTTGATTAACATTATGAACTTTCTGGCATCACTCTTCGAACAGGGCAAGTCCTATCAGTCGATTAATGTTTTCCGTTCCGCCATTTCGGCAGCCCATATTCCTGTTGACAACTCCGTGGTTGGTAAACACCCCCCCATATGTAGACTTTTGCGAGGCATCTGCCTCGTGAGACCCCCAGCTCCCAAATATAATCAATTTTGGGATGTTGCTATTGTACTATCCTTCTTGGAGACTTGGCCCCCTAATGAAGAGCCCTCTCCGACAACTGTCGGTCAAACTGGCACTACTGCTCTGTTTGGTATCTTTTAGAGTTTTGGACATCAGAGCATTTGACGCCCATGCCGTGGACTTTACCCCTGAGGGAGTACACTTCTCCATTACCCGATGCACGAAAACCAATTCATCTACGGTAAACGATCCTTACTTCCACGACAAACTCATGCTCTGCGTAGCTAGTTGCGTCCGACACTACATCCTTCGCACTAATGACCTTGAACCACAAACAGGCCCCCTACTGGTGTCCTACGTTCGCCTTCACAAACCAGTGTAATGCCCCCACGATTGCTCGTTGGATCAAGTGGCTTCTGGCCCTGACAGGCATTGACTCATGTTTTGGTGCTCATTCAGTGAGAAATCTCCTCATGTTTCTAATTCCATCATATCATCGCTTTAAAACAGCAAATATGAAGCATCCTGTCTTGCCATAAAATTCGGGAGTATTCTAACCTTAGTGACCGAATAATCCAATTTTTATTAAAGACAGGAGGTGAATATTTTCCGGCCTGCTAGTACACGCACCCAAACTAACCAGGTAGGTATTCCGCAACACCTCTATTGACTAAACCAATATTTTCTAATTTAAGTTTCAGGCCTCTCTTTACTACTTTTACAGATACTACCCAAAAAACATTAACTCGTAACTTAAAACTTGTCAGAATATTTGGTATACACCTTGGTTGGAAACATATCAATTAACCCCTTAAGGACACATGATGGATATATTCCGTCATGATTCCCTTTTATTTCAGAAGTTGTGTCCTTAAGGGGTTAAAGTAATTAAGTGTTGGTTTTCTCTTATCCAAGAAACCATATTTTCACGACCTCTCTCTCCCTCTCTCCTTTTTCCTAGTGTGAAAACCCTTCACTATCCTCACAAAGAAGCAGTGGCGTCTCTAGGATTCATTTTTAGGGGGGGCACCTGGTGGGCCAAGGACAAAAGTAGGGGGGCACATTTAACCCCGCCCTCGCCGCAGTTGGCCAAGCCCCCGCCGCATGTTAAGTCCCGCCCCCGACACAATGTGTTTTTTTTTTTTTTTTTAATAATCCATGGTGGAGGATTCATTATTTTCCACCAGGGATTATTGAAAAACAAACATATTTCACCTTGATATAGAGCCATAGTTGCCAACATTTAAAAAAAAAAATCCTAGGACATTTTGCAGCACAGCTATCAATTATTACATTGAAAGTTTACCACACCCACTGCCGCAAAACTCAATACACGTATTATACAGAGAGCAGCACTATACAAGGAGCACTGACTGTCCTGGGATATTATACACAGACCTGTATTATACAGAGAGCAGCACTATACAGGGAGCATTGACTGTCCCAGGATATTATACAGACACAAACCTGTATTATACAGAGAGCAGCACTATAAAGGGAGCACTGACTTTCCCAGGATATCATACACACAGTCCTGTATTATACAGAGAGCAGCACCATACAGTGAGCACTGACTGTCCTGGGATATTATACACATAGCCCTGTATTATACAGAGAGCAGCACTATACAGGGAACACTGGCTGTCCCAGGATATTATACACACAGACCTGTATTTACAGAGAGCAGGACTATACAGGGAGCACTGACTGTCCCGGGATATTATACAGACACAGACCTGTATTATACAAAGAGCAGCACTATACAGGAAGCACTGACTATCCCGGGATATTATACACACACAGATCTGTATTATACAGAGAACAGCACTATAGTATTATACAGATAGCTGAGCATATACCCCATGTCCCAATCTCTAGACTACTAGTACCTGTCAATAGCAGCTCCCAGGCGCGTGTAACAGGGCTAAAGTGTGCGGCAGCTCACAAAGATGATTCAGCGGTAAAGCGCACTCGCTGGCAGAGCCAAACTGGGAATCCAAAGCAGCTCTGGAAAAAAATGTATGCCATTCCTATAAGTCAATATATATATATATATTGTACAGTGAGCACACAAGCTCACTGACATGCGCAAATAGGCTCACTGACAGATAAAAAACTCTGACTCACACACAAGCTTAATACAGACAAACTCACTTGTATAAACACAAGGCTCACTACAAAGAAGTTCAGGGACACACACAAGCTCACTAAAGACAAGCTCACTAAATAGAAGCTCACTGACACACACAAGCAGTACCATCTTAACAGCGTTATGTGCCCCCGGGCAAAGCAGTGCACTGGGGCCCTTCCTACACAGCAACTCACAGGAATTAAAATTGTAATTATTTATAGACTGCTGAGTACATACACACAGTACACTGAATACGAACAGAGAGAGACTGCTGAATACACACACTGATTTTTGAATGCACACAGACTCCTGAATGCACACAGGCTGATTTATACACATACACACAGACTGCTGAGTCCACACACACACAGACTCCTGAGTCCATACACACACAGACATACACACAGACTGCTGAGTCCATACACACACACACACACACAGACTGCTGAGTCCATACACACACAGACACACAGTGTGCTGAGTCCATACACACACAGCGTGCTGAGTCCATACACACACAGACACACAGCGTGCTGAGTCCATACACACACAGACACACAGCGTGCTGAGTCCATACACACACAGACACACAGCGTGCTGAGTCCATACACACAGACTGCTGAGTCCATACACACACAGACTGCTGAGTCCATACACACACAGACTGCTGAGTCCATACACACACAGACTGCTGAGTCCATGCACACACACACACAGACCTAGAGTGTTCCTTCTTTCTACTGTGCAGGTGAAATTCATAGCAAAAGTAGTTATTCAGCATATGTGACAAAAGTTGTTACAATATGAGTGCACTTCTACGGTCTCAGATATAAAAAAGGGGTTCCAAGAAGAGCTGAAATTATCATTACTGGAAAATTTGTAATTTATAGCATATCCTCCCTTTCCCAGGGTGGAAGATACAAATGAAGGACTAGCATTATCTTAATAGGTTATTAGGTTATCATTATATATAAACAGAGGTCACTGCTTTCCATTAGCCTCCTAATCCTTTATAGAAAACAGAAAAAAACATCCTCAACATTTGTAATGGGCATACAATGTGACTTATACAGAGCAAATTAAATAATATTTGTTATTGTGGCGCACACAGTTCCTTTCTGCTTTAGACCGCACCAGAAGCATTACTTGTCATTATTACAGTGGCTATCAAACATGGCAGTCATTTTCTGTATGATACATATGCCAACCAGTCCAGGTAGGGCCACCAAGTTGTTTAAAATAAAATGAATAATCAGAACACTGTGGTTTCTTGCAAAACTATTCAGGAACGAGCTGATTCTCATTACATTACAAACATTACACTGAAATGCTGCTCCATGTGATATTTTAACACAATGCAATACAAAATCATTTAATGTGCAGTGTATTTTGATTATGTATTTCATATAAGTATGATAAAATAGCTGCATGTTTAATCTTCACATTGTTTGGTAATACTCACTACACTATGGCCTCTTCAAACTGCAGCAAGGTCTGCTGCTTTACTGTGGGGGCGGAGCTAGGGCGGGAGGCGGATGTGTGGGTGGAGCTATCGTCGCACACGCGAGGCAAAACTGGAGCCTGTGTTCAGGGGAAGCTGCTGGGAATTCGGAAGGGAGACTGTCAGTGCTCCCTCCCGCCCCCTGGCAGCCTCAATGCAGCTGCTCCAGCCCTCAGCAGCTATCCACAGCCCCCCAGCACCTCTCTCCAGCAGTGAGCCCCTCTGTCCTGAATTCCCC